AATTTTACATTTTTAAGCGTTATTTAACACTATAATATCTACAATATAATATAATATACATATGCTATAATATTTGTACTAGGTACAATACCATTTACTAATTAATTTTGTTGACTTGTAATATCCAACGGATTATTTATTTATTTTTAATCGCTACACATGCTATGTTTGTAAGTCCATTGAAGGGATTTCCACAACATTTATAGTACCTATAATACATAAATAGTTTCAAAACTATTTCAATAAGTTTTCGTGTAATGTATGGCAAAATATGTTATGTACATACTTATCCGTTCACTAAATGTTATATTTATCCTTATCTATCGATGTCATCTACGTTTCCGTCCTCCGATTGACGGGTACACACGTGACCGATGTTTGTCGGATCGTAAAAGTGCGTTTACATAGTTCGAACGCGAGCGAATGGGCGGCGAACGATTCGTTCGCGTTCGGTGGCGCTCGCTCGGATAGAGCGGTAAGACCAAAGAAAACGCTCGTTCAGTTCGAACGACATTCAGCTGTCGTTTCTAATTCGGTTGTGTTCAAGAATTTGTGCTCACATCCAGGGACGGCGCGAGGGGGTGGGCAATAGGGGCAGTTGTCCAGGACCCCGCGCCTTATATTATAATTAAGGCCCCGCGGTTCTGATTTAACTGAACTTAAAATATTTTATTAATATAAATTATAAGACCTCAACATTTATTTTTCCCAGGGCCTCGCAAGCTCTAGCACCGTCATTGCTCACAACTGAATATTTCAAACCATATTGGTTTTCAAAGTGAATTCAATGCTAACGCTGGATAACAAGCCCAAACGACCGCGAATAGTCCCAAACACAATGAACACAATCATCAACGAATTCGCGTATGAATGTATTCGGTGGCATTCGTTCGCGTTCATACTACAATGTAAACGCACTTAATATGTAACATTTTCACTATTAGTAATTTATTTTATTTTTAATTTTAAATATTTTAAATTAAATATCACGAAACCTTAACTGGTAAGTAATTTTAATAAATATGTAGGTGTGTATTATGACACTTGATATTGATATTGATTGTTGATATTCTGTGTTGTAACTTGTTTAAATCATCGGAGTGTAAGAAATTAACTAATTACCTAACATAATATAGTATGTGTATCTAAATATCATCAAACCTAAAAATATTTTACAAGTATTAAATTTTATGTTTTGGTAGGTTATGTAAATTGCCAGCGGGGAAAAGGTTAGTCCTTGTATTTTTTTTTCTCTTTATCAAAAAATAGATCAACACGTCACTGGTATCTATAATCATGGATACCATTTTCGTCAGTGCATCTACTACACTCTAATAAATAAAATACCGATTTTATATATCATAATTCATGAGCATGACCTAACCGTGGCGTATACAATGGGGGAATGTGGGGGTAAGATCTCTCGCTAGGCCTTTTTTTAAATGTTATAAAATTACGTTCTTAGTGTGAGGGCGTTAAAAATGTAAAAAAAAATAATCTGTCACCAAAATAACGTAGAACTGGATAATATGCGACATGTTTTTAGGACGAACGATTGATGTATGGTTATAATATATTATGCATCGGAACAGTAAAAATTCCTATAGCAACTCCGCGGAATCCGGCCTGGTGTACATTACACATTGATGAACGATGACACATTTACACGGATATAACTTGACAAACCGTTTTGACGAGCAACAATTTAATGTGAAATATTTACGACACCAGTAACTTCATAAACCATAATATTTGTCTGCAAAATGCCATGGGCATTACCTATGCACCCAATGTTCTAAGGCGTACGGGGCCATTCGGTTGGGTTTTTTGTACATATATTCAATCATTGTTGACAGATTTGTTGGTCACAAATTTTTTCCTGGACCAAAAACGAAAATCGTTATCTACAATATTGTATTATAAATAAAATATTAACTACAATTATTAACCAATTTAAAACTTATGCCTTCGAATTAAAGTTATTAATATTGAACTTAAGAGTTATGATTATAATTATTATAATATATAATTATATATATTATTATTATTATTATTATTATTATATATATAATTATTATAATAATTATATCATTATTAAAATTATGATATAATTTTATTATTTATTTAAACATGGTCTTAATATATACTTAATTACAAAGTTTTTTTTGGTTCAATATTAAAAAGTGTTATAATTGTTATTATATTGTTATTATTGTTATATATTTATAACATTATTTATTATATATAATTATTATAATAATTATATTATTATTAAAATTATGATATAATTTTATTATTTATTTAAACATGGTCTTAATATATACTTAATTACAAAGTTTTTTTTGGTTCAATATTAAAAAGTGTTATTATTGTTATTATATTGTTTATAATGTGTTATAAATAAGTGTTAATACAATTCATTTGAGTATTTTTTGAGTCAATAATAATCGGTATAAATTACCAGTATTATTTTAAATTACATTCTATTTATAAATTATGACTATACCATAATACGCATATCATTGCAATATATATATCTCGTAAACTATGTTTCATAAGAATTTTATAATTACAGATAAACCGAAAATAATGAAATAACAATAAATATTAATTGCTCATGTAAGTTGTCATATAATATTACTAAAATTTGTAATTCGAGTCCTACATTTCTGCATGTTGGGTAGTTGGTTTAAATTTTGTTTTATCTGCATTTATAATACAATATTTTATTTGTCTTCAAATAAAATGGATAATGTATAGAAATCTTAAAACAAATCTAAAATCGCATTCAACATTCAGAAACCTGAAACCTTTTATTCGCAAAAAAAAAAAATAACCAATTTGGTCTTATTTTATTTGTTATAATCGTGTATAAAAGAAAAAAATTATACAAAATATAACACGCAACAGCACGTAATAACACGTAAAAGCATAACAAAGAGCCACATCACGTGTGCTGTATTTGAAACGTTGTAATATTACTACCATAATATGGTAGAATACATATATATATTTGTATACATGTTCTTTAGAATTGCGATAACTCTTGCAAATCATTTGCATTCGAAGTGTAATTTGACGTGCATTACCTAGTTTTTCCGTTAATGTTCATACGCATTATTGTAATCGACTATTCGACGCGTTAATTGTTGTATTCACTGTACGAAGACGAAAGCAATTTTTTTTCTTCATATTTTGTAAATAGACGTTGATTGGACTTCGAACCGTTAATAGTAAACATATATTAACTGCCGACCGTGAAAAAAATATAGTTAAATATACCATCGTTTTTGGTTGTTTTCTATATTATGGTCATTATAAACCGATGTTAATTACAAAATGATCATGCTAAAAAAAAAAAAAAAACATTTATTAGTATTTAAATTTGTACTTTTTCAATCTTAATAACTAATAAATGTATTCATATACATATAATTATAAATTTATAAATCTAAATATATAATATTATATTATGTATTAATTTCAACTATGGACACATCAAACATAACTCAATATAAATATCAGAGCTATTTAGGATCAACAGCACTCATAGCCATGGACTATAATTAATTAACCTTTTATTATTCTCTTGCTAGAAACATTTGGTTTTTTGGATTGTTAATGTTCAAACTACATCGAACACCCAGAGACGTATTTAGGGGTGGAGGGGGTACCATCGCCTTGGGTGGCAAATTTCTTTGGAATTAAGGGGCGGCAGCATTTTTTTGTAACCATAGTCTATCATCCATTTTCATTCGTCAATCAAAACATTTTATTAATTTAAGATTTTGTATAGCGACCACACAGCGGTTTTTATTTTCATGATAATATCATGAAAAGTTGACCGCGTAAAACCATTGATAATAAATATTATCTTTCTTAAATTGGATCCATAGTAGCTTTAACAAATCGACAGAAAACCGGATCGCCAGAATCGTACAGGAAATCGAAGTCAACGAAGAAACTGTAGGAATGTTGGTTACATGTGGAATCGGTGGCGACCGACGGTGTAAAGCGGACGATAACTGCCATGAGTTTTTACTCGGAAATTGTTATCGGAATTACGGTGATCGACAATAATGATAATTTTATATTTTAGTTTATATTTATATTAATTTAAATTTTGGGAAAACCTTCCATTCATATATTCTAGCTTCTTACATTTTTACTCGTTCCAATAAATAATAATACATTTATTTACTATTTCTGTCGTAATATTTTGTGATGGTTTTTACATTTCTTAATTAGACTTATAACATAATAATAACTTTTTTATTTAAAACATTATGTTTTATAACACGTTTTTATTTTTTTCGATGCATAACAATTAAATGTCGCTCATCTGAAAATGTTACAGTGTACCTGTACAATAATGTAAACAATTATATTTAATCTATGACCAAAAAAGATCGCATTGGTGCTTTTAAATAATTATTTTAATCAATCAGCTGAATTTGCCGCGCGGTAAAAACAATTCAACGCAATACTTAAATAAAACTGAATTCTTAACATAAATGCAAAGTACTTCAAAGTTCAACTAATGCGATTATCGCGTTTCGATTTTTATAAACTATAGGTATTATTGCATTATTTAACTATTTATATTCATAAAAACTCAATATCGTTCCTGTGTTTGGCAATTATCGAAAAAAATACCATAAGTCTATATAATTGCGACCAGTGCATAGTATCGGTATTTACGTAGGATTTTTTAAGTTCTAGAACACTGTCATTATTATTTATTTCATGTTCGGTTTATGGATCGGAAAACGGAATATTGAATTATTGATTACATTAAATTTTTTTTTTTATTTCCAACCGATTAAAACGATCCTTTTAGAATAGTTTAAAATAATACAGTTCATAACCGAATGTTAACATACAATAATAACACAGTAATAATACAATAATAATAAAATATAAATATTAAAATCGTTGCCGTGTACGGCGCGGCGACGATAGTTGGTGGGGCGGGAGGGCGATGCAGTCCGTTTGTGATAATTTGTCGAAACGACCGAAAACACGAACGAAGCACGAACAGTTGCTCACATTGTGCCGTAGTGTTCGGTGGTTGTTCGCGTTAATTGTCCGAACATCGAGTGCCATTGCATGTTATTATTCAGTAGTTGCGACGATCTTGTAATAATTTTTTCCCCTCTCTACGTCGTTCGAGTTTTTATTGTACGGCAGCGGTAGTGCGACGGTTATTGTTCCCGTATATTGCGGCCGACACAAAGATCGTTATTATTTTGTTGACGGAAGAAAAAAAAATAATAAATTCTACGAATCGAGATAGGGAAAAATAAAAATAATCCAACTGTTGTTTCCCACCGAATTTCCGTCGATCTAAGCATTTATAATAACAAAAATAATCAATAATGGCTCCGTTGTGACGACGTTTCGTACGGTCAATGCTTTCAGTGTTCAGTCGCTTCAGCTCCAGAGCCCGTCGCGTTAACACAGCTCGTGTGTAGAATACATAATCTGACAGACTATTGATCGTCATGTACGTTAAAAGCGTTTTCGCGTGGTGCTTTTTGCTGTCGTGTTCGCCTAGCAGCAGCGGACTGGAATGGGACGACGTAAATGACATTTTCGGGATGACCAAGAATGTGGTCGAGTACGTCTCCAAGTCGTGGGATATCGTGGACAAGGTGCCAGAGCACGTCGGCAGTGAGAACACTCCGCTCATATGGTTCACCAAGAAGCGGGAACGTTCGATCCTGACCAACTTTGGACGCATTACACAGATTGTTCGCTCGATGCAAAAGGAAACTGATGACATAAGGTCCATAATGTTGAGTAACCTCAACAAACTGCAGTCCATGTCCGATGTAGTTTTGAACGGAATCCAAATCAACGAGCTCTTGGAGTCTGTTCGATCGATAGAAAATGATTTCAAGACGATGGAAGGTAAAGTAGACACAAATATTTTATATCGTTCTTATTATTTACATTTTAAGACCTTACATAGACAAAATATTCACATAATATAAAAGCACTATGGTTATGTGAATTGTTTTTTATCCCATTTTCATTAATTGTTCTTGGGATTCAAACCTATTGCAAAATGGTCTTAAAATTAGGTATTTACTTACTCATTGAATCGTATATATGTATGATAATCAATAAGTAATTTTTAATTTGAATTCTGTTTGGTATTGCATTTGTTGGTTAGGTGATTTAATTCAGTTTTTTTTTCTATCAACTTTATAATAAGGTACATTATGTTACATCCTTGCTTCTTGTGATTCAATTTTTAATTTCATAGTATTTTTCTGTATAATTAAATGTAGTTTTAAATACTAAAATATTACATGATTCAAATATGTAATATTTCTTGCCCCATATGATGTGTTCTTAAATAGAATATATTTATGATGTACCTATTATTTATTAATTAATAAATTAATAATAATGTTTGCTCTTGGGTCAATCAGAAATTAAATGGATACCTATTGTTTAAGAGTATGTTAAAATGGGAAAACAAAATGTACCTTGTAATGTAGTATATAATAAATAATAAATAAAAGTAAATATTAATATTCATAATATAACAATTATATCATAGGATTAGCCAATTATAGTTATTTTGATAAACAATAGGTATGCATCCTTTATTAATTTTTGATATATAATATATAAATAAGTTTTCTCTTGATCTTCATAAATTAAATACCAGCAGTTTTTAAAATGTAAGGAGTACCTCCTTTGGGAGACGCAAACACTTATTGGAATAGGTGCAAGGCAAATATTTATATTGTATATATCACTACTACGTTTTTATTTTTAGATCAACAATAATTTCCTCTTATTAAAATAATAAAAAATGTTGTTTTAATTATTCATAGGAGGTGCAATTCATTTTTTTTTTTTGGATGCATGATCCAAAAAGTTTGGGAACTGCTGTTTTATATGATGTGCTATATTTGTATGATGTTACACATCTATATTCATCATCTTGTCCATATATGTTGTAACATGAACGTGTATTACCTTTTGATGTTTTGCTAAAATACTGACAGTTGACAGATAGGTGGTTTATTACAGAAGGATTATACAAGTTCGATGATTAGTTAGTTACATGCATTATATGCCACACAAACTCTGTTACTTGTTCCATGTTAGCTGTTTTATTTTGATAATGTGTATGCACATTTAGGCATTGGTATAAGGTATTTTAAATTTTTGTTTCCCTTCTATTTGTATAACAATTTTCTTCATTTCTTTATTAAACCTAAAGTGAAAAAATGATTAATATATATGAATTATGTATGAAAATTACAATTAAAAAACCAAAAATATTTAAATTATTTTATTTCGGCTCAATTGCCCAGGGATTTTCAATTCACTGTGTTTTTATATTATGTTTATTTAGAGTATAAATATGGAGAAAATGATTCTAATGAAAAGAGTAGAAATACTTATTCGTCTTATACATTAGAGAGATTTGCTGATGCAATGTTGTCTTTTACTTCGGGAGCGCCTATTAAGCAAATGGCAAAAATTCACACTTTCATTATTCCGGATTTAGAAGGATTTAAATTTCATACGCATGGTGGTATATTCAATATTTTAAAAGATACAATGGTAAGTAGTAAATCATTTTATAATAATATATTATTATTAAAACTTGTATTTTGATTTGATTAAAAAATAACTATTGCTATTTATTTAAAAAAAATTTACCTTCACAATTTTTATGGATAAATTTAACAAATATTAAAAATATAAAAAAAAACATTCTGAGAGTATATATGATACTAATCATTTATTGAAGAATTAAATAGGAAATAATATTATTTTGATTTTAATTAGTAATTATTTAATAATTTTAACTATTAAATTCAATTTTTAATTTTATTTAAATTTTAATTATTTATAATAATAAAATGTTATTATTGAAACATCTATTGTATAAATATTATTGATATAAATGTATTTATTGTTATTTTTATTATAATGACAATTATATGTAATAAAATATTAGGTATTTTAATAATTCATAAAAAAATTAATTATTTTTTAATTATTATTATTAAAAACTATATTTTTGTGCTCTCGTATAATATTCACAGGCTAAATATAAGGTAAGCATACTGAAATATTTTTCTTCAATCGTTAATTAAGACACAATAATATTTTGTTTATTTGTTAAAAAAATAAAATAATTTTGTATCAAAAAGAAAAATATTTTTCTTTTATTATCAATACTATAGTAAATTTACCATAAGACTATATAATATGCCATAAATTTCTAAGCAATGAGTCATTTTCTGGGAAGAATGTATTTACAATGCAATACTTATCTATATCTGAACCATATATAATTTAATTTTTTTCGTTTGTGACAGTATATATTTTAAATTTTTTTGATTAAAAAAATATATATATGTATATTTAGTATATTATTTAAGTAATTATAAATAGATTTTTAAAAGAAATATTTAAATATTATAAAACCGCTATTGGTGAAATTCTTTTGTAAATGAAAAACTAATCAAAAAGAAAGAAAAAAAAATCATATGGATTAATATAAGAAATATACCAAAAACAATTAAGAAAAATTTAAATAAACTTAACTAAAAATTATATTTAAATTGATAATGTATACTAAATTTATACTTATTTATGAATTTTTTTATTCATTATAAATTATAATTATAATTCATAGGAAGGTCCTGGTATGCTTTGTGATCAAAAACAATCATTGCAACAAATGGTTTTTAATTTATATGGAACATTGCATCTTACTCAGTTAAAAGGATTTTCTGTAATGCAATTTTCATGGATGTTATTACAAACATATGGAAAAGGTATGATATATTGTGTTATATATCTTATTGTATGAATAAAAGTATTATTTAATTTATTCTATTGTAATATTTTGTAAGTTATAAAAATGATTTTAAAATAATTCATTGTGTCTTAACCATCCATATTTACTAGGAAATTTTACATATGAACGAACAAATCAAATGATACAATTTGAAAAAAGAATTGAGGAACAATTGAATGCATTAAAATACACAATGTCTTCTTCAAGTAATATATTCTGGAGATGTGACCCTGAAAAACATATTAAAGATAAAACTTATTTAGAAGTGACTGAACTATTGCAGGTATAAAAATCAAAGATATTTGATATTTGTATTTGTATTTGTATTTACCATTTGCTATTTGGACAGTTCATTAGAATAGATGCATGAGAGTGACTTATAATTTTAAAATTATTTAATTTAAATACTATCAATTATGTAAATGTGTTACCTATTAGTATATACTTTTTTTTTTTTATCAATTCGAAGATAGGTTAAATAATTATTGATGTTTCTCTCCACTTAACTCTGTCACTTATAATCCTCTTTATCTCCCAGTATGTTCCTATTTCGGTATCTTCCATCACTTGCTTCAGAAATGGGGTTTTGGGCCTTCTTTTAGATTTTCCTTCTATTTTTCTCTCTATTATTGTAGTTATTCAAAGACTATTCCTTATTACGTGTCCGATCCATAATTTCCTCCTCAGTCTTAGCGTATTGCATATTTATTTTTGGGTATTCATTCTTCTGAAAACCTTTTTTAATCATTTTTTATCTTTTCTATCCATGCAATTTTTAGCGCTCTTCTTCAATACCATACTTCAAAGGCTTCTATTTTGGCTTTTTCAGCTTTCATTATTGTCCAAGTCTGCTCCACACAAATCTTTTTGTTGAAAGATTTTTATATTATTTTTATTGAAGTAAAAAGATTTCTCTTTTTATAATAGGCCTGTTTGGCTCGCGCTATTTTACATACTATATCTGTGTATGGCTTTTCCCATCGCTTGTAATTTTGCTCCCCAGGTATGTGAAACTTTGAACAGTCTCCAGCAACATTATATATTTATATTATATTTAAGCATTTAAAATCGGAGGTTGGTGTTCTATTGAATATTAAATAAACCTCAAAAAAAAAAAAAAAAAAATTGAAAAATAATCGTTTTATATTACATTTATAATTAATAATTTTAATCATAAATTAAATGTGAACAGTAAATTTGAGTGAAATTGTTATTTATAGGGCTACATAGAAAATGAAGCTGATATGAATTATGAACATAGTTGTATGCAAAACTGTGAGTATTATAGTGTTGCGGAACATAAAAGCTGTTTCAACGATCAGTTTTGTGCTAAGCAACATGTTTGTAATGGACGTATATTAAATTGTCAGTATATTGATTCCGATATGAGAATTTGTCAGTCTGTATGTTAATTATTTCATAAGTATTTTTATAATAATAGAATTAATTGAAGTTAAATTACTTTGTTACTTTTTGTTTTTAGAAATTTGGAAGTAGTAGACGATATGATTATATAGCGTACGAAAAAGGTAGAACTTTAGGAGACTCTTCTGATTGTAAAGGAACAATGAGTAATGTTGATAGTTGGTGGACTTTTCTCGTTTTGCATTGTTCTTATTGTTTTTGTATTTGTGATTCAAATGAGCCCTCTTCTGATCGTCATTTTAGTTTAAGACCTTCTTTGTCAAATATTGATCAAAATAAGTAAGCAACTTCTAAAAATGACTCTTGTTTGTCTTTATATTTACATGGTATTTTTGTTTAGAGTTGTAACTGGTCTAAGATTTATTAAAATTAAACAAATGTTCCATTTACAAGTACAAGAAGGTGACCTTGGGCCTCGAGCTACAATAAATGAAGATTCCAGACAATGGGTCGAATTACCGGGTACTTCATTCACATTTAGGAATAAAACGTTAAAAAATGGTGTTGATTATCATACATTATCATATGCATCTCGTTCTATCGATTTGGATAATGTGATGGCTCCTGAAAAAATGGTCATTACAGGTGAGACATTTTTATTTTATTGCTTATTGTCTTTCAGTATTTGTATTATTAATCAATAATAATAATATATAAACTATAATAGGTGTGAAGTTTAGACTGATTGGATCTCATTTAAATTTGGAAGTCCGAGTTACTCCTTTTGATTTCATGACTGGTAAACTTATTGAACCTCAAAACAAAAGTTATTGGATTGGAAATGAAAATACTGAATTGACTGATGGATCTCCAAGGTTTGTAAATTATTTTATGTATTTAAATTATTTGTAACTATTAAATTCTTGTAATTTTATATTCACAGGTCGGAAATTTATTTAAATGATTTAGACTTACCTACTAAAGCAAGCATTTCATCAGAGCCAGATATGTCATCAAACAAATTCTTGAAGTTCACACATTCATCAATTGATCGTGATGTTGCTCAATCAACAATACCATTTATTGATAAACAAACCGTAGATCCATACCCAGGTGTGCCATTATCTGGTGTAGGAATTTACTATAAAGGTGTTAAGTCATATGGAGGATTTATTGGAGCTAATGTTTTTACTTACGATTTTAGTAAAGACTTAAACATTAAATTGTTTTCAATTCATGGAGTATAGTTTAGTTGTTTCATCTTTAATATTAAGTGTATATTAGACTTGATATTATTTTATCTCAATATTTATCATCAAATGCTATAGATGTATAAATGTGCCAAAAAATACCAAAAACTTGTATACACAATTATATACCTACTAAGATAATAGTGTGCTAATATATTTTTATTTTTTAAATTTTTTTTTTTTTAAAGTTAAGATTTTAACTAATTTGACTATTTGCTGTTAGTACATTTTATGTTTAAACTTTAATTTTTATATTTTTTTTTATAACAATATTATATATTGTTATAACAATATATATATATACTTAAATTGTTACGTAGCATAACATCTTTTTTTATTTTAATGCATTCATTTTTTTTCAAATCATACACATGTGCATTTTTTTTTATTATTTATGATCAAAGTAATAAACAATTAAATATAGTTGTGTGTGATATATATTTTGTAAAAATAATTTTTAGTTTCTGAAATGTTAAGCTAGAAAAAATGTCAATGATGAAATTACAATAAAGTAGTTTAAAGAGATGCTGATACTTCCATTCTTGTTTCAAATATTTATTTTAGTATAACATATTTTAGCTAAATGAAACAAAATTACTTACTGTATAAGAAGTATGAACAGTGGTGTAGACGTTTAATGGAGCTCATAAATAATTGATATACAACTACTTATGAGGATTTCTGTGTTCTTTGTTTATGCGTATTTATACTGTATTTACATTACCAATATTCTGAGTATTAATTTAATAAATATTAATATAATTTGGGTAGTATTAATATTTATATTATTTTTTTTATGAGTCATAAAATATAAAATCATATGTGGATAAACTTAGTTTTAGAAAAATTTAATTTTAAACACCTAACCATTTTCCTGTTATACACATTGCAGTAAATTTAACACATTTTAAATTAATGTTATAACTTATTACTAGGAATGATATAATAAATTATCATGTTTACATTTCACAATCGAGTCAATTATCAATTTTGCATGGAAAATACGTAAAACTTTGTTACCGATTAATAACGATGTATTTTTGTATGAAATATAAGTCAGATTTTCAAGGACTTCCATCATCTCTCACCTACAGCTTTAGGAATATAATGACTGTGGGCCATAAACGAGTTGCGATTAGGTGCGCTATTCGTACACATAGACAAAAGACATAATTAGATGTATCTTACCAAATATGTACATCGTTATTGTGCATACTTAATTAAAAACTTTCTACTTTTTGACCGTCCAATAACACTATCAAATTTATTTAATGTAAACTATTATGTAATCGAGTGGTAGATATATTAAATATTTATCATAATATTGTGTGGGGTTTAAACTATGACATAGGCTTATTACGACCGTGTCACATAGTCACGGCTAATGGTGAATTTTTAAATTATTTTTTCTACGATTTGATGTTTTTCGATGAACAGGGGGAATCGAACAAAAAATTACATTTTTATACGTCTAAAGTATTACTTGGAACCAATTTCCGGCCAATGAATACTGTTTCATCGAACTCGTCATATAATTAAAAAAAACAATTGATGGTCATTTCATGATTTGATTCATGATGTCATTTCACGTTGACAGTCAGATACTTTGTGTCATTTCAATAACATTTTTTTTGCTTGATATATATAACAATAACGGTATTACGTCATTGCGTATAGCTATATATTTGACGTTTAACACAAATATTTACAAACAAATAAAATGGGTTTTCAGATGTTTTATTTACTCGGAGACTCGAGTGTGTGTATATAAACGTACGGCATTTGACGAGAATACGTCAAAATCAACGTTTTTCGAATGCGAATGCGATTTGACGGTCGATTGAATTTTAATATTAATGTGCGTTGCGCACTCGAGTAAACGGATGACAATACGCACTTGACTCGATGCGGAAAAACCATAAACTCAGCACTCCGTACACGGGTGCGCAGTGCGTATTGGACAACTTATCTCTAATGCGAGACACGAAAAAAAATCGCATCGTTCGTGCGTGAACCTCAGAGACGAGAAAAATGGTCTCTTTCGGATGCAGTACCCGAGCGTTATTACATTATTTGTTCGATACGTTTCGAGTCATCGCAGAATCGAATGGTTTTCTATTGCTAAATGTCGTCTAGGACGACGCGGTGCAGTAAACGATTCCAGAGAAAACAACAGCTTTTCATTTTGCGTTGAAATAAATCGAACCCCGTCGCGATTCAGACGCGCTTCGGACGTTTCCACAGCGGACCGTATCGGCCTGCAAATGCGGTGGACGGTCGCGGTGATGGTGCTGTTTTGGCCGGAGATGGCCGACGGTGGTTTGGGACCGCACGTGCGGGACGACCGGCCACACCGGTTGACCGCGGCCAAACTGACGGCGTACGTGGACAAGACGTTCGGGCCGTCGCAACGATGTTTGAGAGTGGTCGTGACCGACGACACTGCCGGGACGGCTGCCATAGTGGCCATGCTACACGGACGCGACCAGCGACCGCGCTGGGAGGACGAGATCGGTAGCCGCCGGACGTTGACGACACCTGTGACCAGGTCAATCGAGTTGAACGAGTCGGTTACGACGGCGGCGGCCGAGGACGGTCCAGATATGTTTTGCCAGGCTTACGTGGTGGTCGGACTTCGGCCGTCGGCTGTGGAGAAATGCTTCGATGATTTCAGGAGCACCAACTCGGCCCACAGGATGTTGGTGATCGTGGTGCAGGATAACGAGTTGATCGAACCGTTCATCAAAGTGAGCGAACCGCGCGTGTGCGTGGGTGTATATATTTTTTACATGTTCAGCACAATTCAAAACGTATATTGACTGGTATTTAAATTGCGATGATGACGATAATAACAGATTCATACACAGTAATCGAGTTAAACTCATTTCTGTTGCGGTATAATACGTATATTTATTGTGACATTTTGAGCGATGTCAAATACATGTCATTTTATTTACCTATATTTTTACATTTGTACATTTTTTAAATGTTTGGTAGGGGAAAAAAACGAAAATTAATCATTATTGTCTGTCATAAAAGCTTAAAAAATACCTGAAACAGATAACAAACTGATAAAAAATGCACCATTAGAATTTTGTACTTGGGTAGCTATTTTAACCATGCGTCCTTATTTAACGTAATGAAGGGGGATGACATACGAGATATACACAGTAGTGGCACCAAAACTGTTTAATGAGAGCCAGTGTTATATATCGAGAATCACCTTACCTATCGGTTGATTAAAGTTTACAAACAAAAAAATGATAATTATTGAAAGTAACACCAGCTAATTTGAAACCTCAGTAATTCCTCCTCTCATTGGTACGTCACCGAGAAGGACCATGGTATACAAACTAATTAAGGCAGTAACCTGTGACCCGTGGTGAATTTACGAACAGGCATCATAGGCAGGTGCCAAGGGCGCAACATTTAAGGAAGGTGCAAACATTTTTTCTCAACCTTGTTTTGTTTCGGTACTCTTATTGTAATTTTTGTTATATTAATTTTTTTTTTTATGTTTTGTCAAATAACCTGACATTCAATAAATAATATTTATCTCAACACTTATAACCGCCATTACTGGTTTTACGATCTATTATGTCTCACGATAGATTAAATTCACTAGCCATACTTAATATTGAAAATTAAATTACTTGTCAGATATCGTTTGATGAAATAACAAATGACTTTACCTCAGAAAAATCACGACGTAGGGCACTTTAAATTTAAATACATAAAAAACTTTAATAGTTTTTATAATATTTGATTTGGATTGTTCACATAATTGTAATTTATCATAATTTATAATAAGAACTTAATTTTTATTAACAGTACATGCAAATTAATAAATAAATAAAATGTTGAGGATAGGAATAAGGGAAAGGAGAAAAGGCACAAATAGAATACAAGAAATTTAGAAAGGGAAACTATTTTTTTGAAAAAAAAAACTTAAGACTTAACTTATTTTTTTTAAAAAATTTTGGATGAATCATTCTCGACCAATTTTTACTTGACATTAAAAGTGTATGTTCAGAAGTGTTAGGGATACAAAAATCTCAGTTCCGGCACTGACAGTAAAATACGAGTACAATTATTTTTAAAATTACAATATGCCTTATAACATTTAATGAAAAAAAAACAATAAATACTTATTTTGAATTTTATAAAATATTATTTAAAGCCATTATTATTATACAAAATAATATCATTATAGAAGTGAAAAAAATAGAATAGTCAGATTTTATGAATAATAACCATAGTTTTAGTTCGAAATAAGTTTTGAAAAAGTCGTTCTCGTTACATTTGTAGTATACTTAAATATAAAAATATACGAGTATACATACATAATACAATTTGTACTCAAAAAGTTTCTCTCGTGGATTTACTGATATTATTGATTTAATCTATGACAATAAAGATAGTCTAATTGTATGTAGTTTTTATAAACCAAGCGACCAATAATTTATTTCGAGTAGAAAACTATTGTTTTTGTTGTTGAAAACCTGTTTTTATTAAATTCAATGCAAACGATGTCTACTTGCTGCGTTCGCTTAAACGCTACCAATTTTAACAATAGGTTGGCATATCTATAATGTATTACCATATCGTGATGAAGTATTTAAAACGAAAGACTAATTAAAAATAATGACACAATCTTAGCAAAATAATCAAATGATACAAGCAATTCATATCTAGATACATTTTAATGCCTTCTACGATTGAAAAACAACTTACTAAATAGGTACAATATTTTATAATTATTATTGATAAAATAGTTCGGTTCTTTTTAGCTCGAACCTACCTAATATTTGATCTGATATTTAACCTTGTATTCAAAACAAGTGATGAATGTTTACTCTTCAAATTTTAAGCAGGATAAAATTGATTATTATGCAATTTTAAAGTGAAAGTTAATTCAAGTTAATTTTTTTAGTAGATTTTTATACTATTTATTTATTTTTAACCATTATTGTAATTTTTGGTATATTTTAGTAATTTCTTACGTCCAACCATTGGCTCTGTAGTGATTTGTTCGCAAATTAACATTTTGAATTGCTTTCGAAATGTTTTTAATTCATATTTATATTAATAGAATTAATATAATGTAATGGTGTACTATTTTTATTTAAAACAAGAATCACTATTGTTCATTTTATTTAAAATTGAGTTTAGTCATGCCCAAGATATTTTTTTTTGTTCTTTTAACAATAATTTTTTATCACTTGAACGGTGGCCGTATCGAAACACTTTTTTTTATTTTTATCACTGATGGTTTTTTCGACGTTGAGGTTTTTATCAGTTTTTCCGTTTGATTATTAATATTTGTACTGACAACTGACTTTATAGATTTATTGACTTTTTCGCCCTTTTCATCTTTTTTCGTATTTATTTGTACTCGCGGATCACGATCACCACCCGGTCCTTGTTTTTTATTTGCTGAAGGTTGTTTATTACGTACCACAAAACTCCACTAAATTAAATAAACAAAGACATTAAAGCATCTAATTTTTTTTAAATTGTTTTGTTTTATATTTTAAAATTTCATTATTATATTCTAAGACATCGTATATGCATCATGTCATCATAATTTAAAAATACATTTTGAGGTCTACTGTCTGTAAAATTAAATATTATAAGTGAGTATAAATGGTTATTTAAACTAGGTATATATTTTTTCAAACTATTTATAAATAATACTGAGTAGAATTTGTGTAAGTACCGAATAAGCCAACGAGTGGGTCAAATTCTTAAAATTAAAGCTATAGGTAGATTTATATTATTTATTATCGTACAGCACTGGTAAATTTAAATAATGATGAATAACAATGTAAATTTTTCATTCCGTGGTCTTAAAACCAGGGACCAGAACCGTAACCGAAAAGAACCGGTACTGGAACCGGTTAACCTTTAAAATTAGGAACCGTAATTGAAACCGGAACTTTTATTTCCAAAAATGAAAAACCGTAATCGTAACCTTAATTATAAAAGGGTTAATTTAGGTCAGTTATGAAGACTAGTAAAACTATGGTAATGACTATTTTGTTTGTCCATTTGTTGTTTTAGAAAAATAAAAGTCAAATATTTTTATGTTTTTATTATTTTGTGTTGTAAACTATAAGAGTATAACGCATATAAAAAGTAAATTTGTTATATTATTATTATTTATTTATGTTTATTAATATATTACAATTTATAATGAGTATATAATTTGTCTTGTTTATTAAGTATTAAATATAATTAATGTTTATAAAAAAATTATAGCTACAACAGTGGTCAGTATTCACTTTGATTTATAATTAAAATTACATTTTGAATTAAAGATACTTATTTCATCAAATCATAATATTTCACAATATTACAAAATATTTTACAAATTCTTACTATGAGTTGGAATAAAATAACTTAACCTAACTCAAAGAAATATAATAGGGTGATATAATATATATATATTTAATATATTTATAATTATTTTTTTTAACTATTCATAATACCTTCTATTTTCGTGAAATTAAACAATTACAATTTAAACAAGAATAAGTAAATAATTTCATATTTTTTTTTAATAAATCTCTAATAATCAGAATTAACCGAAATTAACCGGTTTTAAAATCCATATTCTTTTAAAAAAACCTAAACCTAAACCGGAAGCCTTAAAAAATTAATTAACAACAAAAACCGAAACCGGAACCGAAAAAACCTATAGGTTCCAGTCTCTGCTTAAAACTATATAATATAATATGAAAGTTGTTAAAATACATAGTCCGTTAGACAAGCCCAGTTTACACGCATTTTTCTCATTCTTTTAAGTTCTTCTTTTTAGTCTTTTTTGTCTACAAATATATATATATGTGCGTGTGTTATATTACACATGTGATTGATTATGTGTATACCACTTACTGTGCTTTCTCCCTCGGATATAGATTTTGTTCGTTTACAACTAATCAACTTGGCAAACGCTTTAAGCTGATATTCGACCGGAGAATTCTTTATATCGTTAAAATAAGACATTCGCAGTAACCGATCAGCTGAGTATCTTTTGTTCGGATCATAAACTATCATTTCTTTTAACACGGTATACGCAGGTTGGTACGGTTGGTACACTATGTGCAGACCCATTCCAACGGAAATATTTGCCTTTGGCCTCTTAAGGGTTTCGTATCGCAGGATGAATACGTCCGACTTGTTTTTTCTGAATTTTTCAATCAACCGGTAATCGGGATAACCTAGTACCCAGTCGATCTGTTCCATCTGTTCATTCTCGTCCTGGCCGCAAAACAATGGCTTGCCAGTGGCCATTTCGTAGATCACACATCCCATAGCCCAAATATCCATCTTTTTACCGTACCAACCTCGTGTCAATAAACATTCAGGCGAACGGTACCATCTAGTCGCCACGTATTCTGTGTACGGCTGACCCTCGGAAACGTGACACGCGGTCCCGAAATCACCGATCTTTAACATCTTGTCCCGCCAGCCCAATAAAATATTCTCCGGTTTGATGTCTCTGTGGATGAAATTTTTCTCGTGCAAATACCTCAAACCTATTTGTTAAAGGTTTTTGTGAATAATCAAATGATCAATAATTGATTAAAAAATAAAAATGTTTACCTTCTAACATTTGATACGTATAACTTTTAATTGTATACGCCGAAAAGGGACATTCGCCTTCACTTATCATGTCATACAACGATTTTTTCATCAACTCTGTGAATAAGACTATTTTACCGTATTCTTGTTGGTGGTAAACTCCTTCCACCATTAGTAGAAATGGATGATTTCCAACCAATCTTGCAACTTTTACTTCCGATATCTCGTTCAGTGTAGCTGCATTTACAGATTTTCCAAAATCCTTTTTCAATATTTTTGCTGCGAGTTTTTTCCCATTATTCTGGTCTATGCATAACCATACGTCTGAAAATGATCCTTCACCAATTTTATGTATTAATTCATAATCCGCAGAAAAATCATTAGAACTTATGTAACTGTACTGAGTTAACGCGGGTAACATTGTAGTTAAATAATTATCAAACCACTAAGCTATAAAATCTGCATTTATTAGTTGCGTATTTTTACTATTAAAAATATTATTGTTAACTTTTGGTTTCTATACTAACCCATATAGTAAGATCATATTATATGTATATATATAAGCCAGAAATGTTTTATTTGGATGCATTTTCAACCGCATTTAAGTAGATAAGTCAATAGTTATTTCAGCTATAGTATTTTATTGCAAAATATAGAATACTTTATTACTCAACTATTCGATAAAAAATTGTATATTATCTATGTTTCGACTTTTTATTTCAATTCTGGAAGCATATTTTAAGATTTGCAAACAGTTTAAATTCAACAAAAATTAACTAAGCCTGTCCCAAAAAAAAATATAAAAATTATTAATAAATATTTTATATTTAATTTATTAATAAGAAATATATTGTATGTATGCTAATTGATAAAAATAAAAAACTAGAAAAATGGACATAATGGTCTCTGTGACCATGATACTTCCTGGAAATTACCTATAATTAATGAGTACCTAACTATAATATTGATGAGTAATATTTGCTATTAAATATTATCCTATAATGCTCAAAGTGCATTTTTGGAATTATTTAAACTATTTACATAAGTAAAATGAATTGTTAAATGCTGGAAAATATATTATAAAACCTTTATTATTATATTAATATATAAATATTTATATATTGTTGAATTGAATTATCAGTAAAATAATTTATACTTTAACAGATTAATAATTCATAAGGTATAAAGTCTGAAAATTAAAAAATTAATTTTAAACAACATTACTAACATTTAAGATCACGATAGTAATTGATTAACCAACATTCAAATACTAACCGACTAAATGCCACGTAAAAAAAGCATGATCATTTTTATTTTATAATTAAAATTATATAATATAATATATAATTTGTATTCTAATATACCAATATAATATATATTATAATATATTATTATTATATTATAATATATACTCCAATATATGGTATTTGTATATTATATATCAGGTAAATTTGTGTAATTTTTTCTAAGTTTAGAAGTTAAAATTAAATATATTCTGAAATAAAATACAGAATATAAGACAAAATCATAACCTTGTATTTCTACATATTTGAGTTATATAAGTTATCTAACTTACGGAACTTAGTGTACAAGTATGCAAAAATATAGTTGATATCAATGTCGTTCAGTGGCAGTCAAATGATTATGCCATGTGGGGGGATGTAGCTGATGTAGCTTAAATTTTTTAACAAATACTATAGGTATATAAAAATCTTTAATTTTAAACATGAAAATTATTTTATATTAATAATATTATTAATTATTATTAATGATATTTATATTATTAAATCTATTTTTCTGTTTTTATTTTGCCCATTCGTCCAGTACTTCGTCTGCAGTTATATTGACAACCCCACGATGAACAGCCATAGTGGCTAACCCTTTGAGACGACTCTAAAATAATATAACTACATAATTCATATGATAATATAATATATTATGTTAAGCATTAAATGCTAAATTTAAATTTCATGCATTCTTATAATTTAACTATAAAAGAAATGAAAAAAACCTAAAAAGTTTGTTTTAATTAATATTTTAGTGTTTTATGTTTGTACTGTTTAACTGTTAGTTTAATTCTAGCCTGGAGACTGTATAATAACTAATAAGTACAGCATATTTATTTTTTAATTAAAAAATAGATGAATACTTATATTATATTATTTATAATATGGATGAAATATAAATATTTAAAAAAAGATCATGGGAGAGATCTATCCCCCTCGTCCCCCCATTAGAAATTTAGAATAAGGGTGTTGTAGATAATTTTCTAATAAATATATGTACAGTGCACATCCACCTAGATATAAAATTTAATATTATTTTTAATAATTACAATATACAAAAAAAAAAATAATAGAATATTTGATACATTTTTTATTTTTTTATAATATAAAATCTAACTTTCCCAGATCATCTACCATTTCCTTAGCTATTAATGGAACCCTTTCATGAATCACTAACATTGTAAGTCTAATTCAAAATAGTCATTAGTCATTACACAACATGAATAAATTTAAAAAAAAATTGATTAAATTGATTGATAAGGACATACTCCACCAAGAGTTGATAACCATATTGACCAGTAGGTAACCATATAGTAGTTAACAATGGAAATCAACAATTTATCACTCTAAATATAATCAGTCAATTATTATTATAATTTATCTTAATTTATTTTTAATTATATTTTCGGTCAACAAATATTTTTGTATTGTAATATTACAAACATAAATTATACTAAGAGACAATGAATATTAACTTCCTTCCTTCCTTCTTGGGGTTTGTCGGCCATTAAGACCAACCCGTCACACATCCAATTCTTCAATTCTCCATCCATCATGAATATTCACATTCCTTACAAATATAATACGAATTATTTAAATAAAATACTGCCAATGGGGGGGGGGGGGTTAAACCTTTCCCTCTGTGAGCACACTCATGGTAGATATAATACATTTATAGCATATAACTTATAAGTAGTCATTAATATTATTGAAATCTATACATTTTTAGTATTCACCGGAATATTTTAACTACAAAGATGTTATACTTATAAACGTGAATCCACAAAAAGAAACAGTATATCAAATGAGCATACAATTCGAAAAATTCATTCCTATTTCCAATAGTCAGGACCAATGGTATAGACATGTAAGTACATATCATAACAATCATTAATATAATTTATTGTGAAATGTACAAACATTTTATTTTAATGAACTTATCAGTTAATATTATTTTAAGCGTAGCTGACATCCATAATAATAATTCAACAATAATGGAAATTATTGTGAATTTATTGAATAAGACAAATGAAACTAATAATTCATGACTAATTTAATTTTTATAAAAAATTTAATTTATAAATATATTTTTGCCGTAAATCATATTTTCAGAATTTACAACAATTTACTTTTCTGTCATTTAATTATATAACTTGTGTGGTATATGTATATTATTCATACAAATAATAATAATAATAGCTATATATAGCCTATTCGGTAAATTGAATAGGCAAAAAGCTCAATCAATTAGATATTATACGAGTAGTTGTTAATTAATAACCTATTGGCAACCACGTCAATACTTTTAACTAAAAAAAAATATTTTCTGTTTTCTTCGATATTATATGCAACAATAAAACTATATAAATTTGATTATTAATTTATTTTAATGTAATTTTTTTCAAAAAAAAAGCTGTAAAAGCTTATTGTTATGTTGTAATTAACTAGTTATGTGGCTCTGTCTTAACATTGTTTGGATAATCGATTAAATATGATTTTTAGGACTTGGAAGGAAAGCGTAAAGTTAAAAACTTTCATCAGACTCGTATTAAGTTATTGGTGTACAATAATTCATTATTCAGTAGTGTGATAATCGACAAAGAAACAGGAAAACTAAGTGAGTAAGAACACAATGGAATTGCATAAAGTAAGAAGTTGCAAGTGGTTGGTATTTTGAAAAAAGTTATGCTACGATACTATGTTCTATAACAGTTCTATATCACGGTGTTGAATGCTGTATATTCAAAGAAATCGCAAGAAGATTAAATATTACATGGGATGTATATACGTCCGAGGATAATGACAAATGGGGAACGGTACAGCCAAATAATACAGTGACCGGCGGTGCGCTAAGATGGTTGAATACCAAACAGGCCGACGTATCGTTTTGTTCATTTTGGATTGAAATAACGAAATTGAAGTTTGTAGATATGTCCAGATTTTGGGGAACAATGTGTTTAAAGTTTTTGGTACCTAAATCCAAGCCACTGCGAGAAAAATGGGACTTACTGTTTAGACCGTTTCCATTGAGCCTGTGGTTATTAGTTTTCTTTTCTGCAATTTTGATCATATTCACTGTGTGGATTCTAGCAGGCATTCAAAAAAAAATTGGATTTGAAAGAATAACCGGTTCGTATAATACCTATATTTTTTATACAGTTTTTAAAATTAAAATATCTTTATAAATGATGTCATTAAAAACGAATAAATTAAGTATTAATCATTTCGACATAATTAGATATTCGTAAGAGAAAGCGTAGTCACAGTGGTCGGATGAAATACAGGGATGGATGAGTGACAACGGTGTAGTTACAGGGGGTTTAAGGGGTTTCCACTCTCTCACAGATTTTTTTTTTTTTAATGATATTTAATTATTATCCATTAATATTTACATATAGTAAAAGGATATTTTAATTATACCATGATTAGGTATATATTAAAAATTGAGTAACAAATTAGTTTTCATTAAATATGGGGCATAATAATAATACCATTTTAAATGTAATATTATTTCTAGAGTTCGGAAGTTATAGGAGCTAAAAAAGGCAAAATATGCATGCAAATAAATAAAAATGATAATAAAAATAAATAATATTAAAAATAAATGAAAATAAAAATGATAAAATATGCATGAAAAAATGTGATATATACAAAAAAAAATATTTATTTATTTATTAAAAGTTAATTAATAAATTTTAAAAACCTATAATTTAATAAAAAATTGTATTATTGAAAACTAAAATATGGCGCATAATCGATCGGCATTTGAGATTTTATTGAAAAAATAATTGAACAAATGTATTTTCATTATTTGTGAAATACGAGATAAATATATGTTGTACAGTAGATTCTCGTTATGTCGAATCTCAAGGGGAACAGAAAAAAGTTCGAGATATCGAGTTTTATTAAAAAATAAAAAAAGAATAATATAAATACAGTAGATTCTCGTTATGTCGAATCTCAAGGGGAACAGAAAAAAGTTTGAGATATCAAAAACTTCGAGATATCGAGTTTTATTAAAAAATAAAAAAAGAATAATATAAATATATGTTGTATAAATGTATAATGTATATATGTACTGAAATGACTGAATAAATTATTATTTTTTAAAAAAATCTGTCATTAAAGTTTGCTTAATATTACTTCTTTCTGCCACGACGTCTTCCAAATTAGATAATGCAGAAAAAGCCTTATCATCCATACCTGTAGTAGTCTCAACAAAATTCCTTAGTGTTTTTAAAGCATGTTTAGCTTGTTGAATTGTAACTTGGGTAAAAATGATTTCTTCCTCATTTTGTGGTTCGTCTTCACTCTCGCTGGTATTTTCGATGGTTTCTGATAAAATTTCGTTATCTGTCCATGTTCCACATACGTGTACATTATTGTCCATTTCCACATAATGTGAAAAACTTCTGTCGTCTAAATTAAGATGATCAGCAACAAAATTCCATTTATCATCAGAAATAGTAGTTGAGTTATCTAATGCAATTATATCACCGTCTTTAAAACCGGCTTTTATGAAGCAATTTAATATAGTCTGTGGTGTTACACTTCTCCAAGCCTTATCAGACATTCTTATAGCTTCGAGTATGTTTATAGAAAATGATTCGTTGTTATCGATATTATCGACTAACCGTCTGATTATTTCTTTTCTATAAAACATTTTGAAATTCTGTATAACGCCTTGGTCCATGGGCTGAAGTATAGATGTTGTACTAGGTGGTAAAAAATGTACTTTAATGGAACTTAATTCAATATCGTGATTATGAGCTGTACAATTATCTATGAATAGTAGAACTTTTCGATTTTCTAGTTTCATTTTTCTATCAAAATTTAAAAGCCACTCACTAAATAATGACGAAGTCATCCAAGCCTTTTTATTTGACTTATAGTCAACTGGTAAAGATTTAATTCCTTTAAAACACCTAGGCTTCTTTGCTTTACCTATGACAAATAATTTTAGTTTTTCAGTTCCAGACATATTTGCTCCTATCATAATTGTAATGCGCTCTTTACCGTATTTTCCACCCGAACATTCTTTACCTTTTAACATTAATGTTTTATCTGGTAAGCATTTGAAAAATAAGCCCGTTTCATCGACATTAAAAATATTATTAGAAGAATAACCTGCTAAGACATCAGGAAGATTTTTAATCCAATTTAAACAACAATGTGTGTCTACTGAAGCTTTTTCTCCACAAACAGTTCGAAAAACTACATCATGTCTTTTTTTCCAATTTGTAAGCCATCCACTACTAGCTTTAAAATTAGTGTGTCCTAGTTGTTGTGCATATTCGTTTGCTTTTTCAAGTAAAATTGTTCCATTTAATGGTATGTTTTTATCTCGACACTGAGTAAACCATTTTAGCAAACATTTATCAATGTCCAAATAAGGAGTCATCCTAATTTTTTTCATATTTCCACAATTGAACTTCATTATTTTTTCTTTCTGTTTAATAATTGACGATAATGTATTTGGTGGAATATTGAATTCATTGGCGATTTCACATTTTTTACGATCACCTTTTTCAACTAACTGTATTAAACGAACTTTGTCCGAAATTGAAAGAATATTTAATTTACGCTTTTTTTCCATTTCACTACAAACGAACAAACGAACTACGAAAGACTACAAACGTGACTACCAACGCGCTAAATCACAATCGCTATACTGCACAATGTATGCAATGTACTGCACTAATGTACTGCTCAATTCCTGTTTTAACCACAATAAAAATATTATTTGTGAACTCGAGATAACGAAAAACGATTAATTTTATATCGAGTTATCTAGAGCAAAACACTATTAAGTGTAATAGTAGTTTCAAGGGGAATTCAAAGTAGTTCGAGATAACGAAAAATTCGAGATAGCGACGTTCGACATATTAAGAATCTACTGTATAATATATTATACCTGTATAACTGTATAGCTCGGATTTCTAGTTTGGTGTGCTATAAATCGTTTGCATATTGAACAATATGCAACTCCTATAACTTCCGAGCCCTAATCATTACATAGGACCTCGTATTAAGATATACTAAGAATATTATGAATTGACTCTTAAACACCCCCCCCTCCAGGTTAGGTTAGGTCAGGTTAGGAAAAATTGTATCTACGCCACTGGTGAGTGGTATAAATGAATTGTTTTTAAACTTGGTATAAAAAAAGAATTCTCAGAAAAGTAGAAGTGGTGGATCAACAAATATGTTAAAAAATAGTTTTTATTACTATATTATTTTAAATACCTATAGGTATTTTTTTTTTTTTTGAAATTATTAGGTATATACTATATTTAGCAGACCTGAGCATTTTGTGTATGTGATTGAAGGAAGTGGAATGAGTGAAAATATAAAAAGGATTATGATTACGGACATTATGAGAGGGAACTTTGAATAGAACTTGAGATAAGAGGTCTGGTGCATCTATAGAATTGCTGAAAAGTGTATGAAGGAATTGAGAATTAATATAATAACAACGTGAAGACTATGAAGGTAATCAAGATAACGGCTAATATCAGAATATTTATGGTTTGGTGAAGGTAATTTTAGAATAAAAGCAGTGTACGATAAGAATTTATGTTGAACGCAGTCAAGACGTAACTGGTCCTTAGCAATGTGAGGATGCTAGATAATAACCCCATACTCGAGTAAGGAACAAACAAGAGCAAAATACTATGAAGGGAAACAATTAGAAGACGAGAAGAGCTTAATATTACGTGGATGAAAAAAGATACCAAGATCTTTAAAATATATACCCGTTGTAACTGAGAGTTATTAAGCACATAGGAGAAGAGTAAAGTGTATTTAAATTTATGCATAACATAGTTTTTTTTTTACTAAATTATTTACACTTACACTATAAATACATTTTAGTCTATGATCATGAGCAAAATGAACAACTTAGTATTTAATCTTATTAATTTTTTCTAAAGGAACACAAATATAAGGTTCATTTAAAAAATGAATACCATAAGAATGAGTACATATTGATAAATTAAGATAAAAATTATACATACATCAATTAGTAATATTAATAATTACATTAAGATTTATTCAAGTTTATTTGCAGATTATTAGTGTTACATCAATTTTAAAACAAAATAAGATAAATATTTACTACTTTAAAAAATTCATTATAATTTTTGTTCTTTGTTAATTGTGTCATTGGCAATATATCAAAATCAACAAAATATCAGCATTAACGTTTAAATTTAAAAGTCTTTTTATATAAATAAAATTGAACCTTTAAGTACTGAAAAGCAATTAGTCTTTTTATCACTAAGTAGATTCTTAAGTCTGACTTGTTATGATATTAGAAATAAAAGATTTTATCTAATTTAGGGCACTACTTTGATCGAAAATATTCCAATTCATTTATTAATAAGTTATATGTCTTAGTAAATATGTTTTGTATTGTAAATATAAAAGAAGGGTATTTACCAGAAAAAAATTATGCATTGAAAATAATAGAGAGTGACATCGAAATAGTGTAACTTATTGTTAAACGAATAAAATGTATTAAAACATTTGTAAATTATCAAGTGTTTTCTAAATGATAATTGAAATTTTGAAAGGATTTATTGGGTCATGATAAATAAAATCATTTATATGAATATTTTTATTCAATTAATTAATCCTTATTTTATTACATTTATTAATTTTTATATCCTCCAATTTTAAGTTTACAATAAATTAGAAATTATTTAATTTTTTTACTATTTCATATTTATTATTTAAAGGGATATAAAAATAATTACTATTTATATTATATTAAATTTATCGGTGGTTATTTTTAATAGCATAAGATGGTTCGTTTATTAATTTTCATCTAATTTCCAAATTATGTTAGAATAAAATATTTGTTTGATTTAGATAAATATAACACATTTTTATTTAACATACCTTTTTTCATTGTGGTATATATTAAATTAAAAAAAATTTAAAATTAGTAGACTTAAATTAATTAGTTATACAGGTTTTAAATTATTTACAAAAATTAAATATTACAAAGTAAATAAAATATTGTTTATTATATTATATATAAAATTTGATATTAGTTTAACCCCGTTTTGTAAACATAAAATTCAATTTTGGCTTACTTATTATAAAAATAAATAGTACTAACTACATAGCCATTTTATTGTAAACAATTTGCAATGTGTCATGTTCATTATGATTGCAGCAAGTATGTACAAAGTAATAATTTTGTAAAAGAAATATTATTCTTTTAAATATTTTTACTATAAGTAAGCATAGTTAATGTTTATTTATTTATTTTTTTTTTTGTTGTACAAAGAAAAAATAAATATTATAATCGTAAGTTAACGAATATTTATATAAAATAAACATACTATAAACTACTTAGCTTATAGTATACATGTATATTTCATTAAAAATATTTTAAATAATCAGCAATTTAAACTTTAAAAATTGGTACCTATATATATATATATATATATAATTTAATTTTTTTTTATCTATTATAGTCAATTATATTTTTCAGTATTTACTTCGTTATCGTCAACTATTTTTTGGATTATTGGATCGATGTTGCTAACTAACAATCCACAAACTTACCGAATGGGACCAATTAGACATTTAATCAATTGGTGGTGCATGTTCGTGTTCATCATGTCAACTTCATTTTCCAGTAATCTTTACTCGTATATGACATCACCGGAGTACAATAAACTGGTTTTAAAGATCGAAGATATGGTTAAACATAACTACCATTGGGGTCTTACATATCCACCACCCTTTGATTTTATTTTGAAAATGCAGGTAAGATCTGTATCCTCTAGGGTAATAAATAATTTATAAATAATTAGTTATTATTTATTGTTTCTATACACATTTTATCGTAAATAACATTTTATTATAATTCATCTTTCTCCGAATCAAATGAACACATAACAAATTAATTGAAAAAAAATATGCATTTAGGTATATCTGAACTTCTTTTACGATACCGAATTACGAATAACAAATTAATAAATACTTGTGTGTTAACATGTTATGTTCATATACTACGCTATTATATGAACAACCAGCTCGTTAATTTTTTAAAAATTTAGACCATTTAAGGAGTAATCTAGAAAGAAACTTTATGAAGATCACACGTAAACTCAGAAATTCCTATCTAAATATCGTGTCTTTATCTACTATAAACTATCTTATAATAGTTATATTTTATAGACAATTCGATGTGTCTCAGCTATCTCGCTAATGAATATTCCAGTTTCAACTACTGAGCAATTTAAATGTAATCTACTATTATGTAATTAATTTCCCCGAACATATTATTATAACATTTTATCACTCTATGTCAGGGGTCTCCAAACTACGGTCCGTGGAACACACGTCCGGCGGGCGTCGCCCGAGTGCGTCCTGTTAATCATATCGTACCTTTTTATAGCCCAACTGCGTCCGCTATCATATCACTAAAAATGTTGGTATATCCCAACTGCGTCCGCGATCATATCACTAAAAATGTTGGTTTATCCCATGTGCATCCATGATATTATTGCTAACAATATTTATCTTTATGGATAAAATAAATTGATAACTAATAATATTACACCATGTTAGTTTGCATTTATACTATACTCCATACGTAGAAACATACTATTTGTAACTAGTCTTCGACAACCACGTGCAGTATGTGTAGTGATGGGTATGCAACTAACATTATCATTTTAATATATTTAATTAACATTTTATATTAACTTATGTTATTACATAATATTACGTAAGTTCTATATATTTGAAAGATGTCGATGTCGTTGCCGTCGAATATGATTAGCCAACACGGTAAGGAACTTAAAATTATTAAGGGATATAAAATGAGATTTCATAAAATGTTGAATGATAATGAAAAAAAGGTGCTGTGTAATAAAAACATGTACAGTTTACATAAAAACAGATATGAGTGAAAGACAATTATTGATAGTAATTTAAACCATAGTTATGAAATAAAATCTGAAGGAAAAATGATGAGACAAGTAATTAGGAACTCTGTAAAACGAAAAGCTCAAGAAGAACTTTGTGAACGTCCACTCAAGTTAATTCATCTGGAACTAAAAAATAAAAAAACGGATGTTTTAACGACGACTGACATATCATGTATTCGAAAAGGGATTTATGCTGCTCGCCTTTCAATACTACCCAAAAAACCATCTAACATTCAAGACGTACACAGTTCATTAAATTCATTAGAAATTAAAACATTTGATAATAAAACATTTATTTTAGTGAATGACAGTAATAAAAACTTGGTTATGTTTTTATGTAAAAAAAATTTAACTACTTTATGTGCCGTAAAAACAATATATGTAGATGATACATTTAAGTACTATCCAAAATTTTTTTTACAACTTTTTACCATTCATAGTTTAAATAATGGTTATTATATACCATTAGTATTTTTTTTATTGAATAATAAACAAACAGAATCGTATTATTCGTGTTTTTTGGCGTTAAAAAATGAATCTATAAAATTAAATTTATGTCTTAACCCCGAAATTATGTACACATATTTTCAAAAATCTATTCATATGGGTGCAAAAAATGTTTGGCCAGATATTATGACAAAAGGTTGTTGGTTTCATCTGGGGCAGGCGTGATGACAAAAATTACAGAATCTTGGTTTAAGTATTCATTATTGTGATAATGTATCAGAAATAGGACAGATTTTAAAGAATATATTTGGATTACCCATGCTGAATGAACACGATATTGAAATAAGTTTTACTAAGGATTTTATGTCTATCATGCCTGATGATGAAAAACTAAATCAGTTTATGGATTATCTTGTAGAAAACTATATTGATCAACAGTCAGACTTCCCTCCTCACACATGGGCAGAAATGAACAGTAGCAGTGAGCGAACAACAAATGCGTGCGAAAGCTTCCATTCAAAATTTAATTCATGTTTTTACACACCTTATCCAGACATATATTCCTTCTTGGAAATATTAAAAAAATTCAAATAGACACAACAATTTTAATACAAACTTCCAATCATATACCTAAAAAAATTAGATCAGTTAATGAAAAAAATATTAAATTCATTGAAGAAAATATACAAAAATACAAAACTGAACAAATTTCTAGATATGATTATGTGGAAATCATGGCAATGAAAAATCTACCAAAAAAATAGTTAATATTAACCCAATATCTTAAAAATGGATGTAAGCCTAAATAATTAAATTTTACTATACTTTTATTAAACATATATTTACTAACTAAATATTTTTGAGGTGTAAGTCAGTTCATCTCTTTGTGGTGTACCCTGGGTATCTCTAAATGAACTGGGACGCACTTGGGCTACGTCAAAGTAGTGATCTTTTTCTCTTGGGACGCACTCGGGCGAGAACTTATTCCGGACGCATTCGGAACATTAAATAAAGGACATTTTGGGACGCATTCGGGAGTCGCCCCGTCCGGCTCGCGAACAAGTTTAATCCCCCCCCACCAACTAACGGTGAATAATCTAAAAATATATGTAGTATCCAAAGTTTTTTTTAAATATTTATGAGTGTATATATTTCTATATTATTAAAAATAACATGTGTTCATATATTTTGGCCCGATAAGAGCTCTTTTGATATTTTATGTTGCCCTCGAGTTGAAAAGTTTGAAGGCCCCGGCTCTAAATTATAGATATTACACTTAAAAATGTAGTCTTATCATTATGTTTTTGTGTATAAAAAGTCATTTTTTGTTTAAATAAACAAACAAATATACTTACTATACATGGATACATGTAAAAGTAAAAGTATTATCGTAGGCGTGTTCACGGTTCGGGTGGGTACTAGCTACTTCGGCGGACTGAGCGTCCAACAAAATCATGACCGGATATAAAAAAAAGTCGTACGGTCTGTACTCAGTAGCGACGGCATCAGCAGAGTACAGTAGTATGTGTTTTATTTTAATTTTAAATGCGTTTTTATTGTTTCGACACTCCAATGGTTATAAATTTTGGTCTCCATTGAAAAATATTACGATCATTGCGAGTTTTTTAACATAAAATATAAATATTTCTTCGTGTTTGAAACATAGGTCTTGCGATTTAAAAATATTTTATGCCCCCTTGCCACCAAACTGTGAATACGCCTACGTGATATTATTCCCCTGGTTCATTTCACTACGGATTCGATCATAAGAAACGCGAATAGGCGCCAGGTACCGATGGGAGTCCAAGGGAAGAGCCATAAAGCACCGTGCGCTGTAACAGAAACTTGTTCGAACAATTTTGATTCAACGGTTTTTTTTTTTAATTTTTTTTATACATTAAATACAAATAAAATTTATATAAATAAATACATTATTTAATAATAAATAATATTAAAAAAGCAATATAAATTAAACATGGTTTATACATTATAGGTATATTATATGACCTATAAACTTTGCATATTAAAGATAATGGGAAATTTAAACACACTATATACTATATGCTATTTACTATTATACCATTGAGTATGTAGAAATTTCAATGGGGGGAGGGGTTCTGGACCAGACCACCTCATTTGGTACGCCCCTGGCCATGGGTACAGCCGTGATGATTGTACGCCACGAAAATTATCACTACGAGCCCAAGACGCGCTTGTACACGTAGCCTGGCGCCTGTGCACGCGCCCCCGGTCGTCCGGCACCGCCCCGTTTGCCGTTTCCGGGTTCTGGTTTAACGTGTTCCACCCTCGCCAATGTGCGTGCCGCAGAACCCGGTGCACCGAGAGTTCAGCGAGAGGTTCACGCCGGAACGCAGCGCGGCCGACCGGATCGGCCGGTTGCAGCGCGGCAAGTACGCGGTGCTAGTCAAGTGCCTGAACGAAAAGCACTTCATGGAGTCGGAGGAGGTGCCGGCCGCGCTGCTTAACAACATGCGGACGACGCGCACGTGCCTGAACCAGTTCAACATCGGGTTCGGGTTCGCGCGGGGCTCGCCGTACGTGCGCCCGGCCAACCTGGTCGTGCAGCGGATATTCGAGAGCGGCCTGATCGACTACTGGTCCAGTCGGGTGACCGAGGACCGCATCACCGCGGCCACGTTCGAACGGGTGTACGAGACGAAACCGCGCAAGAACGACCACCCGACCGCGCTCACTTACAGGCAGTTCAAAGTGCTCATGGTCGTGTGGACGGTCGGCTGTGCGCTGTCCGCCGTCGTGTTCGCCGGCGAATGTCTGCGCGGCGCGTGGACGTCGGGCGGACGCGACAGTCGACCGTGACGGATTTCGGTCCCGGTTTCGAAGCGGAAGCAAATTTTTTTATACGAAATGTACAGGTACTCACCTCGTTGTTCCCGAGTAATCGAATCGATTTTTTTCATTTTACTTTTTACCTGATCTACCTGTACATTTATCAAATATTTCATTCGGTCGAATCCAGTTGATTCGAATCCGGTTTTCATTTTACTTCATTATTTTCAGTTTTAACCCGTAAACATTCATTCTTATCCGTGCAATTTTTCATCTTTTTGTTCCAAATCATATATTTTTTTTTTTTTTTTAAATAATTTATTTGTGTTTTTTTTTTGCTTTTTCTGCTTTTATAGCGAACCATGTAATTCACTATCTTTCAAGCCTTGTACAATTTAAAAGTACTATTTGGTATGTATTTATATTGCGAAAAATACATTTATTTTTCTAAGAGTTTTATATTTGTGCCCAAATCAAATTATATGCTGTGGATTTTGTTACAGTTTCGTCTAAAAACTGATGACATTCTGTAATAAGTAAAGTCATTTGAAAATTTGAGTTTTTTTATTTTAATTTACCCAACTATTTACCTACAGTTTTAACTCATATTATAATAATGTTAATTAATTAATAATGTTCACGGTAATTGATAATATTAAACAATAAATTAAATGTTTTTAATCACAATTTATAGTAAAAAAGTATTATTATTTGATAAGGCCTAATGTAGATAGATATGTTATTAGATATTTATTTATTTGACGCCGAAATTTGTAATTTAATTTATTATTTACCCATTTAAAATACATAATCATTTTTCTTACTGCACCAAATGTAATGTGCTGCATATATAGTTAGAGATTAATATTTTTACGAAAAGAAAAATCATTTATTTCATTGCCACAATCCAAACACGTTATACCTCTAAAAACCTCATTATATTTTAGACTTGTTTCATGTATTATTATAATTATATTGGTTATTATATTATTAAATTATTTTTATTTTTTACAGCATTATTATGTATTTATTTCGTTTATTATCATAAAATGATGCCTTGAGATCTAGGTCATATTCGTCGTTATCAAATTATATATTATATTTATGCAAAAATATGCAAAATAAAATTTTGTATTTAATTCATAAATAAGACAAAAAAAAAATTTTGGCCGAACCCATTTCCTTATACGAAATAGCAATACAACATACTAATGTATTAAATTCACAACCCTTACTGATCATGGAAAATTATTATAATCATACATTTTCTTTCACCCTTTATAAGGCTTAGGACTTTCTGTCTTATTATATTCTGGTGTCATAGATTAATGGGTTTAAATATATTGTTTAAACTATTTAATTTAGCATAACTTCCTTAAAAATCCATTTTTTACAATTTTGTCGATTAAACAAAAATATTTTTTTTTATCACAATTACAATAATTTTGTTCAATCGAATAATAATAATAATAATTGAATAAATAATATAATAAAATTATAAAAACATAATTGATATCAATGATTTATATACTTAGCGAGTATGGTAATCGCGATTATAACGTTAGCGATAGATGAAATTTGAAAGGAAACCACGGTTGAGAAAAAACGTTATGCTTTTAGAGTATACGGATACACCCAAAATTGTACCTACCTGCTGGTTTTCATTGTTCAGGATTTTGTGCGCAAATGAGTTCTCCTAAATTTAAAAATTATATTTATATATATGCAAACTAGTCTCCACCCGTTGAACTACTTTGTGAAAACAATAGAGCGTTTTCGTATATAATACTCGTACAGTTTAATAATACCTGTAATCGACTGTGATTGTTACACACGTAAATGATCAAATCCATTTTGTACACCGTAGACTTGAACAGAGAAAGGTGAAACGTAGCAAAATATAATGGTATTTAAATTTTAAGCTCGTTAAATTATGTAGCTATGTTCGTGATATGGTAAACGTACTTATTCAATATATGTATTTGATATTATTGATGGATAGTTGACATTTCAAGATCAAAAAAATTAATACTAAAACGGAACAAATTATAATTAATGATATTAGGTACAATAAACGGCTTAACGATCAGTGCCGCAATTACACACTATGGGGCTGGTATGCAAATCTGAATTTGGGGCCTAAATATTTTTTCAAAAAAGTATTTACCAACTATAAATAAAATATGTTAATTGGTGTTTATATTATGAAAGTAGTGGATCTTTAATTTTAAATGACCTGCATTAATGTAGACCTGCATTATTTCCTGCTATTTCTGTTCTAAGAATTAGTATTACCATAGGATTATAAATACTTTAGTAATATAATAATATTTATAATCAATGGTATTACATACCATTGGTTAGTAGTTGGGTATATTATTTGATTATAAATATTTTATAATGTGATCAATCTGTTTTTTATATTTATCAATTTACTTCAGTTAAAATTTCTACAACCAAATCTATAACAATACATCGTGTGGGACCTATATATAATGGTTTGAGGGCCGATATGCAATGCACGCCTTGCACACCCGGTAGTTGCGGCACTGCTTGTGATATTAAAAAAAAGTGAATATTTTACTTTTGGAGCTGTCTATAAATGTAGCAAGTTAAGATTGTAACTAAAGATGCATTTTGCGAGGCGCAAAATGTTTATTATTTTTAATTTTAATCATCGATCGAGATTAAAATGGTGTCAATACATTACACCGACACATAACATTATAAAACGATTATCTTTTTACATCAAAAATAATTTTGGTTTGAACGTAAAATTGTAATACTACAATTAGATAATCAACTCTGAATGCAGTGTACATAATTTTAAATTATTACCGAGGTTTAAATATTTACATTTGACGTGACCTACTAAAGATGTTTACACGTGAAATCATGGTTTGAAAGGTTGTTGAGTTAAATGAATTATCTATCTAGGTACATCACTTTTCATGGTAAGCCGCTTGCTAATATTAGTATCTTATTTCCGTAAATACAACGATGAGCACCGGGTCGAGTCTGAAATAACTATAAATATGTATTATAGCGAGACAGCGGTTATTAAACTATTTTGACTGCGAAGTTTTTTCTTGCACAAAAAGACCACTTGAAATAGGAATATCTTTATAACTAGAAGTATAGAAATGAACATTGTAATTTGATGAATTTACACTCGAAACTCTTTGAAGGTTCTAGCAAAACTATAGTATATACTACATATAAACTATTTATAAAGTAAACTATATGTAGGTGAGTTCTGTAGAGTCTGATTGAGAATCGATGTCATAATATATCGTATTGTATTGCAAAATGTTAAATATACTGTTGTTTTCGTATTTAAAACAAAAGAATTATAGTAATTTGCATAATATATTATCTGTTGTTCGTATCTTATATTATTTCGGTGTAGATTTTGCATTTATATTTCCTTTTTGCGTTATTTGCGTAAAACCGGAAGTGTTGACATACCTTTCATAGATAATTGGTTGGAGTTTGAGAATTATTTACTTTCTGTTATCTGTAAGTAACTGATAAAATTTACATACGCCCCAGTTCGTACATCCAATATTTTGAAAAAGTTTTTTTGTAGGAGCTAATATCATTTAAATACGCCCATTCCACCACACCTTGCCGTGTCGTGTTTTGCGCATTTAATGTACGTAGGTAACTAAGTATCGGTAACACACACGCATTACCTGTTACTACGATATATTCGAATTTACAAGACACGACGCAGTAAAATATCAAACATTACACATAAACATAATAGATATAATAAATAATATTAGTATTAATAAGCATGTCTTTGTATCTACGTATAACAGTTTAGGACATATTTGTAATAGATAAATTCGTCGTCGTGCAAATAAGTATATAGGTAATAATACATATCGGCTAAAGGCATGTGCTATAAACTGACTTACAAATTTAAAGAATTCCATTGCGAATCCTTTTCGATCATTTAATCTGAAGTTCAAGGCATGCATTAATTATTCGTGTGTCATAAAATTTAACAAAAGAAATTTGTTGATGGCCATTCAAATAATTCCATTGAAACGAATGGTTTCTGCTTAATATTGATAAACAGACGTAGGTAACTTATTTGCAATTCCAAAAGGGTACACCTATATCATTTTTTACAGTCATTCATGCGTATCCCAATCGTAAAATAATAATTATTTTACAATAGACGGCTGAATATGGTAAAAAATGTTCGCTCGATTCGTAGAATAGGCTGTAATGCGATACGTTGCACAGCTATTTTTTTTTTAAATTTTTATTTATATTAAAGACACTGCATATGATTGTGTTATATTGTACACTGTTGCACTTTTCTATACACACACGCCCGGGCACGTCACATAATAATGTTTATTACTGTATCTGACCACTGTGAAACCGAGGTACGTGTGACCCGTTCACGTGTTCTGTTCAATCGATTGTGTACATCAGTAATCAGCAGACGGGTACACCGCACACGCATGTAACATTTTTCAATTAAATGCGAAATTAATTCACCGCAAATGGGCCGGTCAGTTACATATCCGCGAGTTTCTTTGGAGTCGTTGTCCCGCCGCCGCGCGCGGTCTGATCGAAGCGCTCGACCGTCGTATGAATGAATACCTGCGAGTAGTATTTTAAATAAGACTCGATTGCCTTTATATAGGTATATATACTTTTTCCATATATCTATATATTTATTTGTACTAGGCCGTGTGCAAGTGGGTGAACTAATTAAAAACAGTGCCAATAGAGATGAAAAAATTCCTACTCGGTGCTGTACGAACACGTTTTAAATTTAATAAATTGCATTTGTTACAATAAATCATTATGCTAAATTTTTGTACGTCGTGATTTATTAAAGCGTGACGGCATGTAAATTGGCGTGGGCTGTAGAATCAACGGCGAAAAACTTCTCACTGCAGAACTGTTTTGACTTTTTACTGACCAAACGTTACAAACGTTATAATTTTATCTGTTATAATTTTGAGTATATGCTAATTGTAAGTAAAAAGGGTTTAATTTTAACCCCCTACCCATATTTTTGGTCCATGACCAATAACATGACACAATAAAGATCCACAATTAAAATCAATAAAATACAATGTAATACAATTTATTCTAGCAATTTGCAGAAATGTAATGGATTTTTAAAATATATTTATTTCTGTGCATGCAGTATAATTAAAAATAACAAGAAAATATGTTTGGTGTATTTTTGATTTTTGTAAAAAAAATTATAAAATTTTTTATTACTGTTTATATCTATAGTCTATAGCAGTGGTTCCCAAACTTTTTTGGTTAACGCATTTCCAAAACAAATAAAATTTAATCGCGTCTCCCATGAATAAATAAAACAATTTTTTTTTTAATATTTTAATAAAAGCAAATTACTGTCGATCTAAATATATATATATATATATATATATATATATGATAGTCTAATATACTATATAAATATTTGTGTTGTACCTTCCCTATAATAAGTACTTGTGATTCCCTAGGGAGATGCGCTTCACAGTTTGGAAACCACTGCTTTATATTATAGATAGTACACGAATGTACCTGTGTATCACAAATTATATTATAAGTATACGCATCAACAAAAGAGTGGAAAAGTCGTTATACGCTCCACTAAACCACTGAATTAAATAATATTATAGTTAGTAATGTAACTTAGATTTTTGACGTAGAAGAAAGATGATTGGTTGGTGATGATGGTTACATATACAATGGTTATAGCTCCAAAATAATTATTTAAAAAAAATTATGCTTGGGACAATAAGTCACTTGTTGAGATAAATCGTATGGTGAATATGTATTTTATATTATTCAAAACTTTCTCAATTTTCGGTCGGGGCTGCAGCCCCTATAATCCACTGCATACACCGTTGCTTATAATGGTTTTTAATTTTTTTTTTGTACATAAAAGTATATAGTTGTTGCTTCGCTATGAGCAATATTAATCAAAGCTATTATTGTTATAATAATAATAGATTAATAATAAATATACTTAAATTTAAATTTAATTTGCTACGTTTTATATAATATTTATGATGTATGCACAATGTGCATTGCACATATAGGTATATTAGAAAATTTAAAACTATATATGAATATACAGGTCAAGAGCCGTATAATCAGCTATCCGCGTGACTGCTTAAATCTAGCATCTCCCCACGGCAAAATAGTAAATAGGTATCGTTTTATAGAAGTCTTTATATCGAACAATAGAATAATGTAACAAGGTACACTAGTAGGGCTGGGAACAAATATGAAATAATAACCAATTTAAAAGTGTTCTGACCAATAGAATATTTGTACGAAAATATACAGTTGGTTGTCGACCGTCACGCGATGAATTTTCAATTGTTTCCAGTTCAGTTTTCGAGTGCATCATTTTCAATATACCGATAATATATATGGGCTCTGATAATGTAATACGAAATATTCGTTTGGTTGAATGGAAATGTATTATCACTAGTGTGTGTACAAGTGACAGATCATATGAATGTCTATATCGTCATAATATTATTTCTTGAGGTCAGTATAATAGCTAAGATATATTTATGAATTATTCTTATGGTATCTAATTCTAATACTTTATTTTACTTTAATATAAGTGTTCAGAGTTTCATGGTAAAAAAATAACACTGGAGATAACGCTTGTACGAATTGTCAGGCACTATAAAAATATTTAATTTTGAAGTGTATTATACTTCGTATGTCAAGACCACTTTTACTTGTATAATGTTGTACTTTCCATTGTTGATGCAATTTTGTAATATTGTTATATTGTTTTGATGAAAACTATTAGTTGCATTAGTTGTATTCAGTAGTGCACACAGGGGGGGTTAAAAGGTCATACCCCCCCTTCGAAATATCTTCCCTCATTAAATTTTACAAACGATTTTACAAACAAGATTGGCATTACATTTATAAAATTATACTATTATGCATACATTATTCTATTATAACAAGTAAACAATTTTCATTTAGTTTTTGTTGACCTAATGAACTGTTCATGATAAATTAAGAAGTTACAGTATACAGAATAATAACAAATGATATCGTGTAGGAATTTATTTTCCACGTACAAATATAAATAGTATATGAGTATATTGTTTTTGTACAACAATTTACAGTGATAAAACAATTATAAAATTTTATACAGAAAGCAGTGTCATTCTAACTAACAATAACGTCCTATGGTAACAACATTTGAATAGTATTTATTAATTAAGGCACTTCCTTAATTTTATTAATGTTATTTTCAAAATCTTATTGAAATAGATATATTTATTTTGCTTTTATGATATTTCAAAGTCGATACGAATTTCATTATTTTGGCCAGGGCCGGCTCAAGGTATAGACGAGCTAGGCACCTGCCTACAGCGGCACTTTAGTAGAGGCGGCATTTTCAAAATTGAATCGTAAATTTTTTTTAGTCCTATCGGTGTCATATAAGAAAAATTAATGAAATTCATTAATTCGTGTAAAGCACCCACCTATATAATAAAATCGTCTAAAGTTATTATATTACTTTATATTACGGCTATACGCTAGGTGTTTTCAATTGTTCCGAAAATATAAATAACTACACATTTCCGATAGTCGCGATAGTGATGGATTTTGAGTAATAACTATGGAAATCATTTTTGTCTTTTTACACATAATTTTATACGTAAAATAAAAAATTAAATATTTTTTATGTAGATATGTTACACAATAAATGGGGGAGGGGCTAAGTTAAAATAAGAGCTAAATTAATTTTTTTTAGAGGCGAAAAAACTTAATTTTGCCTTAAATTTGCACTGTTTTTACTCGAGCCGGTCCTGATTTTGGCTAAATAATAGCTATGTATTAATTTATCTATATTAGCTATAATATTTATAATATATAACAATATATTATCTATATTACCTATAGTAAAAACTTTTTACTTATAATAATAATATTGTTTTTATAATTTTATAACACAAATATAATATTACAAAATTTGAACATTATGTATAAACTCTTAGATTAAACAAAGATTTTTTCCCTTGCTTTAAATTTTGCAAAATGTTCAACAACATAAACGAATTATGCCTATTTGATAAAATTATACATTCTGAGTTTATGTGCAAGTATGGTGTGTATAACATCGTTATTCAAAGCAAGATATTTTTGCGTTCTTCAGGGACAGCATAACATATTTCTCGAAAGCGGGAATAGCGTGGTAATGTTATTGATTAAAAATTATTTCCCAATCAATGTCGTCTCATCATGAATAAAAAAAAATACAATTTTCACGAGACCTGAATATCTATCTAATTTATGTGAAGTCCCTACTCTTTTTCGTATGAATAAATATTAGTTGTTAGCGGCATTTTTATAGATTGGCACAAGACGGCTAAATGCCTAGCGTCGGCTACCTACTGTTCGTTGTTAGCAGGTATTATTATTCGAGTCAATTGCCATGACAATAAAATATTATACCGTCGTTTTGCTCGTCCCCTCCCTAACGGTTCATTTGAATGTGTATTACGTACAACATAGTAATAACAATAATAATTTAATACGTTTCGACGATGGTAATAATTTATGTGTTTGTCTAACTGCCATCGCGTCGTACGTGTATATAATTTGTAAGATTCAGAGGAAGTGGATGTAAACGAGAGAAAAATGTACATGGAAAATCGTAAACGATATTCAGCATTAAAAATGATAATTTAAAATAATATATTATTTAAAATCGGTCGCGCAGCCGTCCTACGCCACCTATGTATAACCTTCCTCCCCCTCTTGTGCAACCACTGTTGTACATCAGGGCTTTGTGTTATTATTATAATAATATTACGAGTGTTACCGTGGCAGTACCTGTTACGATGTATGTAACAAAACGATACAACTATATATCAAATTATTATTATTATTATTGCTATCAGTGGCGTATTTGGGATAATTTTTCAGATGGAAGGGAGGGGGCAAAATTTGTACATATGATTTCGACGTATTAACGTTCACTATAATAGTAAAAACATAAAATATTTTAATACGAAAGTCAAACAACAAAATCGACTGTAAACAATAGATTTTTCCTTTCTTATCCATGATTATAACACAGAAAGTGGTGTCGTTGTTAGAAACTGTTTTTGTGGTAATTAAAAAATTAGGGGAAACCGTTTTCGATGGGAACGCATGGTAGACGAGTGCAGTCGTGGTAATGGAATTTATCTTGTAATCGTAATTTCCTCGAAAAAGTAAAAAAAAAAAAAACTCGGGGTTGGCAAATGTGTCCCCCCCCCCATCAAAAACGACACTGATTGTTGAGGTGTCGAACAAACGAATTTCCGAACACCGATGACGACAACGTCGACGGCGGCGGCGGCGGCGGCGGCGGCGGCGGCGGCGCGAGAAACTCGGGCGACGACTACGACGACGACGACGACGACGATAACGACGAAAACGATTCGAACCGGTTCGCACGGTGCCTAATTGCGCAACGGTCGAAATTTCCGAAAACGCGGACGACTATCATCGTCCGTAGCCACCGACCGCCGCCGTCAGTTGTTGTCGATAAGTGCGTGCGTGCACGTACGGTACGTGCACCTGTTCCGATTCGTTCGCGATTGTTTTCGTCGTCGGTCGCGCGGAAATTTCAACGAACAACAACCAGGCCTCAGCTCGGTTTCGCCGCAGTCGTCCGCGCTGGTAACCGAATACGTTTCCCCGTGTCGCCGAAGACCGTCGTGCGCGCGCGCGAACCGGACTGCCGACACGACAACGCCGCGGAAACAGGTGCGAAGTGTGTTTCGACACAACGAGCGCGCGCACACGCTCACGCACGCACGCACGCACGCACGCACGCACGCACGTACGTACGTACGCAAGCGCATTATCAGTCGCAGCCGACCTGCCTACATACATTAGTCCTTATTTAGCGCTGCTGGCCGTCCGAAGGCCCTGGCTTTACTGGTGCGATTGTTTTTCTCGTTTACTCGTTGTTTTATCTTGTTATTCTTTCGCCGTTTGTTTTTGATCCGCCGTTGCGAAATCACCGTCGTCGTCTACACGGACCATACCAGCGCAACGGTCAGGCCAGGTCTCGCCTCGCCCTTCAACTATACGTTAGTACCTGTTCTTTTTTTGTCCGTTCCGCGAGCGAGCGAAAATCTCGGATTACTGTAGGGACTGCCGTCGTCTAGACGTGGCTATAGGTTTTGAGGGATGTTATTTTTCAACAGACCACTATAGATTACCGTGTTTTCATCCAAACTTTTTCACCACATTACTGTGAAGTATGTCAAGTCAAAGGTATTTTCGTTCTAATACTGCCTATGGCATTTTTTTTTTTTTAAATTTAATTTTTTCTTCCGTTTTCTATCCCTACCATTTCTAGTAATTGTTAATAAATTATAAAGGGTATCAAACACATTTTGTCGACAATACACAATTACAATATTTTTTTATCATTTCAATAATTTATACATAAATACATTTTTATATTTGAATATTTAAGGCATTGTGTCATTTTTATCTAGTTGAGAAGTATATAACTATAATCGGGTTTTACTAATAAAAATATAATATTTCAATGTTTAAGTACTTAAGACATTGTAAAAAAAACCTTGGTTATTTTTCAAAAACTCAATTTATGTTATTAGAAAAAAATATTTTTATGTTAAAATAAATAATATTTTTATTTAAATACCTACTGTGTATTAAATTTATTGTTGAAGTAAGCCTGTATTTTTTATAATTTAACTACCTTAATATTGAGTTGTGAGTTATTTTTAATGTTAAAATTATGCACCTTGTGTATTAGTAATTTTATATTCTCTGATGATAATTCAATTATATATCTGTGTTAACTTTAATATTATACTTTTTTATTTACTATTTGATGTTTAACATATGTGAGCTCAATCTGCCAATTATCAATGAATTGATAATATAGTTTGACAGCTAAATTATTCATTTTTTTTTTTTTTTTTTTTTTATGTGGTTTGTTAAAGTAATACGTATATATATTTATGTACATGTATTTTTCTATAGATTATTATATAATAAACACTTAATTGCCTATATATTATTCAAATTAATTCAAAACCTTTTAATTTTATAATTTTGTATCTATTTAATATTATGTAGTTGGTCATTATTTTATTTATTTAAAGTGATTATAATTAAAATATTCTAAGTTTTTTAATTTTTTTAAAAAAAGGATAGTTACTTATTGAAAATAAACCAAAATTAATTAAATACATATTAAATCTATCTGATTATTGATTTTAAATAATGTACTAACTTTTATATAATTAAGTCAATTGCTTATTTCAGATTATGCTATATTACCTACAAATTGATACTTTAGTATTCCTAAAAACACCAAAAATTAATAAAAAAAATCAAATTATTTCTATGTCAAGTTGATAATGACCATTTGACAAAATGGAAAACATACCGCCACTGAATCAACCCAGTAAGCTTATTCGACCACCAAGTTTGAAACGAGGTCGATCTGGGGATTCACAAGGTGGCAAAGTAAGAAATAAATTTTTCAACTATTTAAGGAAAATGCTATGACATTTTAATTCTGCAAATAAATAATGAATAATTTATTGAATTAATTCATTTAGATCAAACTTGAAAGAGTTATTGGTTTGACTGTTTCAACAAATTCATCCTTGGATGTTGATAATAATACTGGAACTATTGCTTATCCAGCTGGGTAAGATTCATTATTTTTTTTATTTAATTTTTAATTGATTTTTCTTGTTTAAAGAAAGCATTTTAATATTTATTATGTTATACCTATATTTCATATTTGCATATTAAGTTTTTGAACTGTTTTTATAAATATTGAAAATTAGGAAAAATAAAATATTTTGAATACTTTTGATTTCTATACATTTTAAATTCCAAAAAAGCCCTTTAAGAATTTTAACAACTCTAAAATAATTTTTATGAGATATACTAAAACATCATTAAAATAGCTTTTTTTAATAAAAAATTATTTTAATATTTTGGAATACTACATCATTTTTGTCAAATTAAGAAATTTTAAATTAGGATTCAATATTAAATTAGTTCAGGTCGAGCATATTGTTTTTAATGAATTTACAATACTTGTTGAATCAATTATGTTTAATTAAATACAATTATTATACTATTTACTATTATTATGCAAAATATATAAAAAATTATTATTAATATATTATAATGTTTGCTTCAGAAATTAATTAATGAATACACTTTTTAATTTAAGATATAAGGAATGTATTTTTCTTAATAGAGTATATAAAGTTTAAATGTACAATCCGATATATTGCATAAGATATGTTTTATATTATATATATATAAAACATATAGTATATGACACATAATTATATATGTTTTTTATTATATAAAAATAAAATTCCTTATAAATAAAATTCCATTTATAATTTGAACTAACAATATAAAAAGGAAATATAAATTATAAATAGACCATTGTAGTACTATTAATCTGTTATAATTATTATTATCTTATCGCGGACGCATTTATAATTAATTCATTGTATAATAAATTGTATCAATTTAAAACATTTGTTTAAAAAACTTTTAATATTTTTTTATTAGATTATTTACGGAAAACTAAATTATTTATTAGTTAGTGGAAATATTTTAGTTTAAATAATTATACATAGGTAATAGTTTTTTTTTTATGTACCTATTCTTTAAAAAAAAAAAAAATATATAAGTATCAAAGAGAATAGTATACATATATTCCATACTATTAACTTGGTAATTTTTAATTTTTGCTTAAGAATATATTATAATTTAAATTTATTATATCACCCTGGTCCAACCTTTTGTAGTAGGTGGGTCAATTTACGAAAAAAAAAGACATGATTAACTAGTAAAATCTGCAGTCAATAATCGCCGCCTAATAATGGCTATAATAATAATGACTTCCACGATCTTCCACCACATGAAATCAGATTCACTGCGGTTGCTATAAAAGATATAATATAACGAATATTTTATAATATTATTATGAATTTTTTTTTATTATAAATCTTCCTATGGAGGAAGGTAAAAAAAAAGGCTTCGAGGGCCGTATGTGGCCCGCGGGCTGCGGATTAGACCACCCTGTATTATATTTTGTGTGTGTAATAATATTTTACCTGATACATTTTTACTTAGTATAAAAATTAAAAATCTAACTTAATATCTGAAATAGTGCGAATTAATTAAGTTAGATTGAACATTGTAAATTAATGTAATAAAAAGTTGGAATTAAGGCAATGCCTCTCGGAATTGATTGATTTTGACTGATATTAATAATAATTTGAGGAATTAGAATTTTTATGTCTATTAATAAATAAATATATTTTAAAAATACAACTTTATATAGATTAATGGTTTATAACAGAATCTAAAAACAAATTAAGTTTTGAAAATATAAGTACGGATTTTTTTTTTTTTTACTTTTTTTTGCATATTTTCCTATTTTTTAGTACAGAATTCGATATTTTAAAAGAAATATTCAAGTGTTAAATATAGCATGTTTAATCCTATAACTTCCAAACCCTGATTTTAAGTTTTTAAGAACATTTAACATTAAACATTTTTTCCATATTTATAATAAATTAGAGTTAGTTATTTTTCCATGCTTTTATATTTATATATATTATTTACGTTTTATTTAATTGAAACATCTATTTCAATATTTTAAAAATTAAATAATTTTTTCAAATTGAAAAACATACAATTATTGACTTAAGATATGATTATAATAATTAAAGCAAAATATTTATAAATATATAGATATTAAAAAAATATTTTGTATGAAATGACTAAAGACTGGATTTAATCGATCTAGGACAAATGGACGTAGCCGTTTGGACGTAGGGACAAATGGACGTCGAAAAAAAAAAATATATATATATATATATCAGTAAATAAAATAAATAAGTTATTTATATTTATTATAATATGTAAATTTTAATGTCAAAAATATTCACTAAAAAAACTTCACCATCGCGATTTGAATTAATGACATCTTACATGTACATTTGGATGCAATTTGTACACGAATAACATGGTTATAGATGTGTATTGTCGTGTCTCGTGTATCACCATGTTTCTATAAAGTGTGATAATTATTACAAAATGTAAAAACCAGTAAGTAATATATATATTGATATAAAAGGTATCTATTACGAAAACGATAAAATTCTATAAGATTTGATATTATGATATATTATGATACGATACCATTAGCTATATTATGAATATAAAATATAAATGGTTTTATAACTTATAAATATAAATATATTTTTTTTTTTTTTGACGTCAATATGTCCTCACGTCCAAACGGCCACGTCCATTTGTCCCTATTCAGGATTTAATATAAATTGCAACTTTGTATTAATACCAGGTAAATAAAATCTGATCAAATATGTAAATGAATAGGATTAATTACAGTTTTCCTATTTAATTTAATAATGCAATTTTTGTATACTTCGTATGATAAAATATACAAATTATTTCTTAAGTAATTTTACAATAAAATATAACTACGACGTAAATTTTTACTTGTAGTTTAAAGTAGCATTTTTAAAATTATATTTATCTGAGTTATCCACAAAAATCACAAGTTTAGAAGCATAAAGTAGCCAATACTTAATAGTTTAAACATATTTAGTAAAATTGAAAATATTTCCTGTCCAAATGGAAAAATTGTTTACGATAAAATATGTCTTAGAAAAATTGAAGGATATAAAATTATTATAGCTTACTCTGAGGTAATGATAGGAAATAAAAATTTTAATTTAGATATAACACTAAATTTTTTAAATTATTTTAAATATACACCGATAACAAGTGTAGACGTTAAACATAATTTTTCATTATATAAACATATTTTAAGTAACAGACAATTTTCGAGAACGTATTTTAGAAATATATATATATATATATATATTATAAATTTTAATTCCGAAAAATTATATATTTTGTAAATATCATATTAATGTCTATCATATTATTTATTATTATTTAATTTAATTTATTTATTTTATCTAACTTAAATATTTCCTTTAAAATATCGAATTCTGTACCAAAAAAGTAGGAAAATATGCAAAATAAAATAGTAAATCAAAAAATACGTTCATGTATTTTCAAAACATAATTTGTTTTTAGATCCTGTTATAAACCATTAATCTATATAAAGTTGTAGTTGTATTTTTAAAATATATTTATTTATTAATAGACGTATAAAAATTCTAATTCTTCAAATTATTATTAATATCAGTCAAAATCAATCAATCCGAGAGGCACTGTCTTAATTCAAATATTTTATTTTAGACATTTGTGTAGTGGAAATAAAAAACAAAATAAATTATGTTTATTTTTGTTCTAATATAAAAATATTCCAAAAACAACAATGAAATCTTCCATCAGCGAAATAGGTGTAAAACTGTAATTAATGATTACATATTTTATATGATTATAATATATTTATTATTATAATTTTAACATATTTATCCTACAATTTTAAAATTATTTTTACGCAATTATATCTAGTTTTTATCAATTCAATCAAAGTTTTATCAATATTTGGAAATTTGTAAATGTATTCATCCATAATTAGCTTTTATCACATATTAATAAAAAAATTATCCAATATACTTCTTAGTAATTAACATTACATTATAAACTATTTTTAATATTTTTTTAGATGTACTGTTGTATTTCACAATCCAATTTTGGGTTCAGAAACACATTTGTCAAATATTTGTAGAAAATCTATTACATGTTTAAATTTTTCATCTGATGGGCGATACCTAAGTACAGGAGAATGTGGCCATCAATCAAATGTAAGGGTTTGGGATATGACCGACTTTAGCCAAATAGCTGAATTTCCTGGCCATAAATATGGGATAAATTGTGTGGTAAGTTTAACATTTTATATTATTATATATCAATATTTAATGTACAATTTTATTATTTTATCAGTATATTTATGTATTATATTTTTTTGCATTAGGCCTTTTCTCCCAATCAAAAATATTTAGTTTCTGTAGGATCACAACATGACATGATAGTAAATGTTTGGGAGTGGAAATCAAATTTAAAATATGCATCTAATAAAGTTTCTGCTAAAATCAAAGCTATTGCATTCTCGGATAATGGTAATTTCATAACTATTGGCAACAGACATGTAAAATTTTGGTATTTACAATCTTCCAGATCAGTTACAGTAAGTTATAATTATTCTAACAGTTTGGTTACAAATTATAGTTATATTTTATTCTTAATTATTTTAGTACAAAGAACCAATACCATTAATGGGTCGGTCAGCTATTTTAGGAGAGCAAAGAAATAATGATTTTATTGATGTTTGTTGCGGTCATGGTGAGCTTAAAGATTACACTTATGCAATAACCAAATCTGGATTATTATGTGAATTTAATAATCGTAGACTGTTAGATAGATGGGTTGAATTAAAAGTAATTTAATATCAAATTTTTCATTTGGATCATATTAAATTTAAATTTTAACTATAATATTTAATTTTATTTATTTATTAGACGACTAGTGCCAATTGTATGGCTATTGGTAAACATTTAATTTTTGTGGGATGTGCTGAAGGTATTGTAAGATGTTTCAACCCAGGAACTCTTCAATTTGTAACTACATTACCTCGAACTCATTATTTAGGGGTTGATGTTGCTCAAGGACATGACATAAGGTATTCATTAAATTAACTATTTTCAACATCTATTATGTACTAATTAAATTAATACATGTTTAGTCATATGGCAAATATTCCTGCGAACGCTAAGTATCCTGATGCAATAGCTCTTGCTTATGATGAAACTAGTATGAAACTCACGTGTGTTTATAATGATCACAGTTTATATGTTTGGGATGTTAAAGATATTAAAAGGGTTTGTTAATTTAATTTTGCTGTATATATTTGTTTTCAACTAAAGATTTATTTAATTAGGTGGGAAAGTCCAATTCATTTCTATTCCACTCAGCGTGTATTTGGGGTGTTGAAATGTATCCTACATTAGAACAAGATTTACAAATACCTAAAAACTCATTTATAACATGTTCAAGTGATGATACTATTAGAGTGTGGAACATTGACAGAATAGAATGTGATAAAAAATCTTTATATCAAAAGAATATCTACAGCAATGTAAGTTGAAATAAAATATTTCCATTCTTGTACCATGATTTATTTTATTAATGCTTGGGTTTTTAGGAACTTCTTAAAATAATTTACATAGATCAAGAACTAAACTTTATTAAAAATACAGAGTTAAATTTAGTTGATAAAAGTGATTCATCATCATATGATGGCCGGAATGGTGTTCGAGCTATACGAATTAGTCCTGATGGTTTGCATCTTGCATCTGGTGATCGTTCTGGTAACATTAGGTAAAAAACAACCTTTTTTTTTTTTACTAATACATATTTATATATTAAATTCATAAATATATTTTTGTAAATTGAATAGGGTTCATGATTTAAAGACTTTGCGAGAAGTTTGTTTAATTGAAGCTCATGATGCTGAAGTTTTGTATTTAGATTACACTAAGTTCAATGATAAAATCAAACTATTTGCTTCAGCCTCAAGGGATAGACTCATACATGTGTTTAATGTTAATAAAGTAAGTTATTTTAAATTATAGCACCATTTTCCTTTTTAGGGTTGTATAAACTGTGATTTTGATTTTTATTAATGTGATAATCAAATTTAAAATAATATCTTCAGCCAATATTCATTAAATAAGTTGTATATTATTAATTGTAATTTTTTTTTTTTTTTGAAAAAGTATTTAATAATGAACATTTTCAGGGATATGATTTTACCCAAACACTGGATGATCATTCTTCGTCTATTACTGCTGTTCGTTTTATAAGCTCTCAGAATAAACTTCAAATGGTTTCTTGTGGAGCAGATAAATCAATTATATTTCGAAATTATAATGAGGTTAATACTAAATATATAAAATTATTGTTATGTAAACCTATTTAACCAATATTATTGATTTTTATTTAAGTTGGCTGATAAAAATCAAGGAAGTTTTGTACACGATCATTATGTTTCTGGAAGAACAACATTTTATGATATGGAAGTAGATCCTAAACAGAAACATATAATGACTGCATGTCAAGATCGTAATATTAGAGTATATAATACAATATCAGGAAAACATACTAAGACATTTAAAGGATCTGTTGGAGATGAAGGCTCTCTTATTAAGGTAAATATTAAAAAATTTTCCATGATGTATTGAAATCATTTAATACTTTAATGTTTTATTTAACAGGTAGTAATAGATAGAAGTGGGTCTTTCATTGCTACTAGCTGTACAGATAAAACTCTCTGTGTTTATGACTATATTGGTGGGGAATGTTTAGCTACTATGTATGGTCATTCTGAATTGGTAACTGGGTTAAGGTTCACTAATGATAGTAGACATTTAATATCAGCAAGTGGAGATGGTTGTATATTTGTTTGGCGTATGCCATCAGACATGGTTAAACATGCTTATTCTAGTAAACAAAAAACCCGAATTGAAAGGTAATTATAAGTTAAAATATTAATAGTTTAAAAATTATTGTTAAAGAGGAATTAAAAATAAAAATAAATTACATTTTGAATATAAAATAATTTTATTTATCAATACTATAATAGCTAACATGTTATATCTGTTATAAACATCTATTACTAATAATTTTTTTAAGGCCTGTCTCCTTTGGAAATATTGAAAATGATGGTGTATCGTTTGTAGATAAAATAGTTGAAGAAAATGAGACAAATGCATTTAGTATTCCTGTGTAAGTGATATATTTTTCATTATAGCTTATTAAGTTGAGTATATGATTCCGTTTATATTATAGAGATGGCCAATTACCATTGTGGGCTAAAAACCAAATATCAGATGATATTTCTACCAATACATTATTAAATACATCTCATAATCAAATAAATGCTCCTAAAGGACAATGGGCTCAAAGGGCGACTAGTTCATCAGAACCTAGTAGTATATTACAGTTGCCTATCAATAAAGATGATTCTGATTGTTTTAAAGATGACAGTTCTGTAGATAGTGGTACTGAAACTAGTAGATCAATTTACCCTGAAAGCCATAAAGAATCTTTAATAGTTCCAAAAAAGGTAAATTGTTATTTTAATTACATTATTATGTAATTCTAGATAAAAGTTTTGTTTACACATCTCAATTATTCACAAAAATATTATTATTTTATTGCAGACATTGCGCATACCACCTGTATTTGTATCTCATGATTTTGAAGAACATTCAGTTGCTCATGTAAGTACAACCTATTATTTTTCTTTTCCAGTATTAAATCATATTAATTAAGAATACCTTTTAGTCAACTTCTGAAAAAATCAATTCTCAAAATATATCAGATATACAGCGCATTCGTAACTTAACAGATGATAGTTCTTTAGGCAGCTTTAAAAATGAGGTAATTTTTATTTTTATAAATTATTCAACAAATATTGATGTTTATTTTTCTTAATTCAGGAGTTAGAAAGTAATGATCATGATGGTGACGTAGAAGATTCTGAAAGTGAATGGATTGGCAATGAAAAAATTAAAAATGTTGTTCTATATTATCCATCTAATACTGATGATCTAATCAAGTAAGTACCATAATCAATAGTTATAAAATTGTTTAATTGTAAAAATGATAACATATTGTTGTGTTTAGTGACTACACCATTACAAAGTTGGATTCGGATGCTCTGCGTATGTCTCAAAGAAAAGCTAAAGCTGTTAAACAAAAAGATCGTCTAACGCCAGGGCTCGCTGATTTATCCAGTCATTCTATGTCTGGTAGTCAATGTAGTGATGATGACGATGATGAAAACTCAAATCCTAGTGTTGACCATTCAGACAAAAATTCAACTAGGTTATCAAATAGGTAAGGAAACTTCATTATTTTAAGTTCTAAAATGTTTGCAATACAATAATTTTGTTTGTAGTAATGAAAGATTAGATATGATTGATAAACGTGAACAGTTCTTAAAAAATACATTCGAATCACTCGGAGGAAGTGACACAGATTTCCAGGATAATAAATACAATTTTCCAAGTAAGTTGAATTTACACAAACTTATTGCTAACATTTTTGTATATTTATTTTCAATTTATATTTGTAGCTAAAAGAAGTATATCCTCGAAGTATAAAGGAATTAATAATGGTTCTAATTTACCACAAAATAAAACAGTTGAAGCTCAAAGTAAAAGAGAAGAACTTCAGCAGAGAATCGAAGAAACTAGAAGAACATTACAGAATGTATATTATTATAATTAATATTCATATAAATAAACTATAAATTTATTATATTTCATCATTTTTTACAGTTGGGAACTAGTTCAAATTTAAAATCTAGTCAAAGTATATGTGATTTAAGTAGAGGTTACGGAAAATCTTCTAAATTACCAGTTCGAAACCAATTATTAAGTATGACCAATAATAATAAACTTGGTTGTTTTGAAAATGAAATGTTTATATTATTTTGCATTTTTGTAGTTAATAAACAATCAAACGGAACTGGAACAATACGCAGGGTATGTTCTTTAGTAGATTTGTCATCAACTACTCCGATAAAAGATAGTGAACCATATGGATTATTTAATGGTGATGGTAAGTACAGTAGATGATTTTGAATTTGATACAATATTATTTAAATAATAATTTTGTATGATTAGGTTTGGATAGTTCAAAATCAATGTCTAAAAGTTCGTCAAAAAAAATTCCTATTAGCAATATGCACAGAAGTAGTTCAGTTAATGTATTGAATCAAGTATGTAAATAAAATGGTTTATATTCTATTATAAATCTACAAATACTATATGTTTTATTATTAAGAGTGATTCTGAGAGTGATGCCAGTCAATCTACAAATGGAGGAATTAAAAATGCAACATCTGTTAGAGTCATGAGACCAACCATATCTTCCCAAAATAAAATAATTATAAATAAATCAAATCTTTTACGCCGGAGAAGCACAAATTCTTCACAATCTACAAGTAAATTATTTTTAATATAATATCCAGATATAAATTTATTGTAAATTTTATTTTCAGCTGCTCTTAATATTGTGGGACATAATGAAGATTCTAGTTCAGAAGAATTTTTCACATCATTACATTATAAAACTAATCAAACATTACAATCCAGAATAAATCCAGTAGATAAATCAAGGTATGTATATTCTAAGATACTGATATATTTATAAAATAGATATTAAGTTATGATATTTTAACCAAATTATAGGCGAAACACATCTTCATTGACACGAAGTGTTAGTGAAATGAATTTAAAGAGTCCATCAAGTAAACCATTTGAAAAGTCGAGAAATCGTAGTAATGATTTGACTGTTAAATCAAAAAATTCTGGAACAATTGGTCAACAAAAAAATTTAAAAAGTAAATTGTAAAACACTATATATTCTCATAAAGTTATACTTAATTATTTTGTAGATTATTTATCTTTGATGGCTGATCAACTATTCACGACTACTGACAAAATTTTGGAACATACAAACTGTATTAATGTCAGTGATAGGCGTATCACCAAAGGGGATTTAAATGATGTAATGAACAAATTAGAACAAATTGTTGACAATGGAGGTATTTTTACACATCAAAATTCAAGAGTTGCACTTAACAGTACTCAACAATATTTAGATATTCTTATTGATCTGATAAAAAAACGTTTATCAATTGAACACGTTTAAATCAATATTGTCAAAATTTGTCTTCTTTTGTTTATTAAACCAGTGTTTTAAAGGTTAATAATCAGTATACATAATATCAATGTAATTATTAACACAATTTTTTTGTATAATGCTTAAAAAGACTTCAGTATTGTAATTATTGTATAAGGATGAGTTTCATAAGTGTTTACAAAATTATCGATTGAATTGAATGAAGATGAAACCATTCTTATGTAATTTTATTCAATTTTTTTTCTTTGTCTTAAGTTACAAAATAAGACTATTAATATTCTAATTAATCATTTCTTAACCAACTTAAAACTAGATTGGTTCAATAAAATTAGTTTTTATTTTTCTTCTCAGAAATATTGGAATATTTTACCAAAGAAAACATAAAAAAGATTTTTCCATATTTTATTATTGTTTGACTAGTTTTATTAGTTCAGTTCCTGATTGTTTCTTTATATATTTTTGGATAACAGGGTTATACATTCTTTTAATTGTTCAGATCCAAGTCAATTTAAATATTAATGACTGGATGAGAGCTATATTGTTCCAATTTGCTACGATCAAATTGTGTATTCTTATATAATTATATCATAAAATTAAATCTAACTTATTGGGACTAATAGACTAATTTATATGTATAAATATATCAGGTGTCTTGAAGATTTAATAATTTAAAATAGCAGAGTAATGACATTTACATTACCTGCACAATTTTTGTGGACCCTTTTGTGTATAATGAATTATAATACCGTAATAATATTTTTTATAATAGAGTATAATTATATTGTTGTTAAATAATTTAAAGTATACGTTAAAATAATTTTTATTAAAACTATGTTCTTATAGTCTTGTTACCCTTTTCCCACATATTATTGTTATTTAGATTTATTAGTTTAATTGTTTTATACTTCATTTCAATTCTAATTCAAACTGATATAATGTGTTACAATGTGCCTTTATTATAATATACTACTAGTCATGTAAAGTAATAAGGTTTAGTTGTGATAGTTAATGAAATACTAGCAAGTACTTAATTTTCGATAATGTATTATTAAATTATAAATACATGGTTAAACATTCCATAATTTCTATTGAAATAATATTTATAATGTATCTTACCGAATCCGTCCAAGTACCTATTGTATAAATAATATATGTCGCTCAGTATTTTTTTGCATCTTGACTGACCTTATTATATTCAACGAGAATTAATTAATATTATTTATTTATTAGAGTGTATATCCATGAAATACATAAATATTTGTATGTGTATTTTGGTTATATTAAATTATATTAATCTTTTATTTTATTATATTATTGTATTTATTCAATATTTTTTTTTTAGAATTTTTCGATTTTATACTTGTATTCTTTTAATAATTACATTTGATGATTTTGCATTATATATATAATACATAATTTTACATTAAGTTTTCATAATTGCAGTTCAAATTATATATTTGTTATACTTATTAATAATGATCAATATTCTCTTGCTGTTCATATAGATATTGTTATCAACAGAATTAATTTCTACATGTAATTACTAATGTTATCGTTTTGTGATAATATGAAAAGTTTAAAAAAATAAAAATATTTGTAGTTTTTAACAAATGGTTACTAAAAAATTAAAAAGACTATTATTAAATACATCTGTGTATTTTTCTTGTGCATTGTTTATTGTCATATCGTTACATGCAATAATAATTATGATACGATTTTCATTTCAATGAGAAGCAATCTGATTTTTCTATATTTTTATAATGTTACGCATACTTATTTATATGTTTTGAATAGGTACTCACTATACCTAGTCAATAGTCTCCACTAGAATTCATTACAAAATAATTGTATCAGCTGTTAATCGATTAATTTTATTTATTATTTAAAAATGATAAGCCAGTATTCAAGTTTAAATTTCAACATACTATAACTTTGCCAATTTTATAGTTATAATAAAACATTTATACAAATATAGTTAAAAAAAAATTTGGGTTTGTCATTTAAAATTAAATAAGTTGTATTGCGCATGCGCGTACCAACAGGGTAAAAAATTTGAAATTTGTCTTAAATTATGTATTTTGGTATCATTTCCGAAAACCCCATTTAAATTAAAGATCATCCAACTGAAATATTTAGTGGTATCTCTTTGCATGAACACGCTGTATATATATACAGGACAGTAACAAGGGGGAGACAGATATTTACGTCCCGGTCACAAAAATTAAAAATTTGCATTTTATGTTAAAAATTGCAACGGTCAATGTAGTTTATATTATTTACAAAACATTTAACGCCATTCGTATTGATTGAAGCAATTGTTGAAAATAATATCTAATAATTACAATATTTTATAAATTATAAATACATGAGGGTGCATTTTGAAATTTCGGCCCGGGTGCCATATTTGGTTGCTATGGTATTGTGTACATATATTCAATGACAGAACTAGAGGGAAGAAAACGGGAATTCATCCCCGGGTGTAATTTTAGTGGTGTGTAATTTATTGTTGACTACTAGTTTGATGTTTTTAACTTAGCTACTTATAATGTGTTAAAACATTGAGTTTAGTTACAGGGGCGGCTCCAGGAGGGACCTTATGTTCGTATTTCATTCACTTACCTATATTTTGTTATCAATAATTTTGAATATTTATCTATTTTTATTGTTATAAAATGTATCACTGCCCGTAGTCATATGCAATAAAATAAAAAGTGTATTTCTCCGTACAACATACATTTAATACTTATTAATTAATAGCAATATTTAAAAACGATAAATACAACCAAAACTAAATTTTAAATATAAAAACATTTTTAAATGTTAATTTTAAGTACATTTTTGAATAACATCACATAAATATTTATAATACCATTGATTATAAATGTTATTATACTTATAATTAGGGCTGGGATTTTAATGCTCTAAAAAATAGCAAAAAATGTATTTATTATAGTTTAAAAATGTTATTATTAAAATCATGTTACCAAAAATATTTAATTATATTTATTTAACATAATATTAACAAAATAGGTACTTATTTGTTCAATATTTACATTTTAACTTTATTTAAATTTAATTTATTTCATAACTCGCAGTTATGATCGTCGTTGGACTCTTGTTAAATAGAAACATTTCTTTCGAATATCTTAATTTTGTTCTATTTTCGATAAAATACCTAGGTAACTACATGAGTCGATATGCTTGTATTTACTAGTTTATCAATTTAATACGAGTAGATTAGGTACATACTAAACGCGTAAGTTTTGAACGAACAAATGCCGAAACGCATAATCAAATACCTATCCTAATATTTAAAAATATATAGATAAATTCTGAAAAATGTTCTAAAAACTAGTTTAATTTTCTTAAAAATAGATTTATCAGTTTTTTTCAGTCATTTCAAATTGTCTTCGTTTTAACATACATAATTTATGTGAAACCGATTTATCATGTTGCTTTATACCATTATTTGTTACCATGGTTTTTCCCAATTATTAAATGCTGAATCGGAAAACGTCTGATGAACCAGACGGATCAGTTGAAAAAAATCGATTAGGAAAGCAAGGAAGAGTCGTATGGGAAATACAACTAATTGGCGAACGCTGCTATTTTTAAGCTTTTTGAATCATGCTACATTTGCCAAATACGACGAAAGTCATTCTAATCAGTATTCACGACTAAAAAATACGTCCATCATAAATAAATACACTCCTAAATGTTAAAGTACAACAATTTTGTCGAATAATCGTCGATTAAAATGTATGTGAAATTAGACCATGGTTCGGGTGATCGAAATCACAGTGTTGTTAGAATATTATTTGTGTTCAAAAATCGTTTAAATTATAATTTTGTTTAGGGAACTAACTTGATCTGGTAGCCACGGTCATACAACAGTTAAAATATCTGGGGATGGGGAGGGGCGAGAACTTATCCTGTGCCAGTTTCCAACCCTTACCCCCCTCCCCCTTGGCTCCGTTCCTACTCTGTATGTACTCATATGCATATTGTTCATAAAGTACACCTAGCAGCAATGCGTATTTCAAGCAGTATTGTAACCGGAACAATCGTAATATTTAATTAATAATTAAAAACTTAAAAATAATTTTCAGCAGTGAATTAGTGTCGAGTTTGTATGCGTGTAGGCAATTATGTTATCTCGATCGAGGAACATTAGCCCAATTAGGATTTATTATTAATTTTTTTTTTTTATTTCACGGACTATGATGTAATTTAATTGTTTTAAAATGCCGGCGATGGGGTTATCGCGGAATTTTTCCCGAGAAAGACATATAATACTTTATAATATTACAATACGTGTGTGTAACGTCTAAAGTTTTTAAACAGACGTGTATTTTACATATTAGACTGGTCTGCTGCGGTCGATACTGCCGTTGCCGATACAGAGTTAATCTGAAATACCAAAATAATTAACGCGCACACGAGCGATAACGACCATTTATGATGAAGGAATGTTTAAACGAAACGAGATGATAAACTTCCGTGCACATCATCATCATCATCATAATAAAACTGTGAATTATTCGGACGATATGTTTTCAGAGTTTATAAATGTCACGGAGTCTATGTTGTAATACAGCCGTACTATATAGTACGTGACGGTGATGAGTCGGAACAGTGACGAAATTAATCGTCCAAGCCGATAATTGATAACATCGCAAACACAATACAGCCACTCGAACGTGATACGTTAATATATTGTAAGAAAATATGTTAATGGCCGAGCAGCTGTACAGTAATAAAGGTACACTAATACGATGTAAAATTAACATAAAAAAAATGCCGGAAAAAACCGTTTTGAATTGGAAAAAGCCCTACAGTTGTATTTATTATTATTTCATTTCAAAAACAATACTGGGTCTCGCTGAGAAACCTTGTGAGTGGCTCAGGGTTATTACAATAATTTTTACAATTTCGAAAGAAAAGTAGTGTATACAATTATCGTATTCCGATTATAACATTCAACTGTCGACATGTGTCATATGTGTACA